TAGCTTAAGCTGTTGTAAGTGCAGGCTATCAATTAAAAAGGTGTTTACACACTCCCCCGCCTTCTCTTTTGCGCATGTCCCTGACCCAGACAGCTAGTTTTTATGAGGCTACTGAATGAGCTGAATGGGAAAGTTTACTTGGTTAAAAACTAGTCACTTTTTCATCTAGGGCCTGTTTCAGCACATTTACATCCAAAGGAGTGCTAGTCCCAGTTCAGGACTACCCCTCTTTTGGTGGCATTGTATATTTAGATTCGCTTATGCCCATCGCATAAGCATAACCTATTATTAGAGATACTTATCAAGAAATTTTGCATGTAAGTGTAGTCTTTCTTGCTCATATGTAGCTTGTATGGAAAAATAATAAGAGGGAAGGCATGTATTTGGTAAATTTTGAAATAATTAATTTGAAACAAGATAGCAATTTTAGGCTACTTTCTTTGAATTTTCTAAGGTATTCAGACACTTATTTAAATCACAGTTTTTTTTTTTTTTTCCAGATAATATATGAAACTATCTAACTTTTAAAGTATTATCCAGCAGTGTTTATTCTATGAATTGTCATGTAAACTGATGGAATTTTACTCACTGTGGTGTTTCAGTAGACTATGTTAAGATACATGAAGAAATTATTGTGAAAAGGAATCATATTGTCTCTTTTTACAAAAAATTCAATGGATGTGATAGGGTTTCTAAACATGGGATGGAAAAACATTCTTTGTGTAGTGGGAATATATTTGGAAAAAGCTAAGGTAAGTGCAGAACACTTCGCAGAGTTTCCTGTTACATTTTGTCTTTTTGTTCCTGTTGTGCTTGGGATTAACAGAATTTTAACTTCTTTACAGAATTAAGCAATATTTCTTTTGCATATGATGCTGGTACTTTTTAGTAACATATAATATTTCTTTGTTATTGCTGATCACCTTCACCTTTTTTTGTGTGAATTTGTTTACTCTGAAATTAGTAAAAATGCAAAGTTATTTTCTTCAGATCCTTTTCTTTCCCCTTCCTCTCACCTACACAAATTTGTATCATCAGTCTACTTTAGGTCAATAGATTTTTCCATTAAAAAAGCAAATGTAACTCTGGGTAGACTGAAGACTTTCTAGACTTGCTATTATTAGATTGATCGGTTTATCCATGAGGCAGGCAGCAGATATATTTAAAAATATTTAGGCCATGCAATAGAATATAAATTGCTTGCTTCAGAGTAAGGGGTGAACATTTTTTCCAAGACAGCCTCCTTTTCGTTTTTCTTTTCTTTTTCCTCCCCCTTTGCCATAACTGCATGAAGAGGCATGCACAGACGCCTGCTGCCAGAGTGTGATACTTAACCTGACCATCAAACAAGCCTCACAAAGGAGGGCTTTTCAGGTCCCCCAGTGAAACAACCACTGCATTTTATTATGGCGTGAAATTAGAAGTGAAAAGCCCTATGGCTCTTGCTATTTAGTAATGCGGAATATGTAGTTTCTGATGGTGATGGTAGTGCTGGGAGGGAAACAGAAAGCCAGGGAAAAGAAACAAAGTAACAATTTAGACAAAGAGAGCTCCCCTTTTTCTTCATTGTCTCTGATTGTTAGGTGGTCTGTAAAACCGTAGTACTGTGGTGGGTACAAGCAAAAAGAATATTTAGTTGCAACTCTTTAATTCAGAAATGTGTGTGTGAATTTGCAGGGTGATGTATGAGAAGAGTCATCTGTTATCAGAAGAGTTCACTAGTTTGACTCATTTGTAAAACAACAAAAAACTTGACTTTGCTTGGAGAGAGCAGTGCTGCTCCGACAGACACTTTAAGTTGCACAGCAAGATGGTGTTTATAACAAGACTGTGTGTGGTTATCTGAAGCTGCCTTGTAACAGATTGGAAGGGGAAAGTGCCAGCTTGAAGAGGCATTCCCTTGTCTGTTTGAGATTAAAAGAATCATGTTTTCTCAATGAAAATTCTGTGCATATATAAAATGTCAAAATATTTATGCTCACTTTTATTTTAAAAGTATTACATAATCACTAAAGCAAATACTCAACTATTAGGAAATGAAAAGACAGTATATGAGAAAGACATTTTAGAGTGTAAAATGGGCTTCTTTTCACAGAATCCTAAAATAATTTGGGTTGGAAAAGGCCTTTAAGATTATTGAATCCATCTGTAAAGTTATCCATTAGCCAATCACTATCACTACTGCTGGAAACAAATTGTGAAAGCTCATCTGCAGTTCTAATGTCCACAAGGGAAAAACTGTTTCATTTTGCAGACCCATATTGTTAGCAGTAAATATTACTGTTATTTTTACTAGATTACCTTCTTTGGACCCTATCCTCATGGAAAGGGTGGCAGGGTGCAGAGATCTAGAAACAAGTGGATGTACAAGTGGAAAGTTTCTGCCATGCTACTTACTCTCTAGGTTATAGATGCAGTCTTGAAGAAGCTTTAAAAGCAGAAAGAAAGAGTTGGCATGACAGATCCGTGATAGATTGGTGGAATAGATGCAAACATGACAAATCAGTTTATTGGTAAACTGCACTGTGGGACTGCAGCCTGAAGGAAGAAAGTTCAGACAGAGAAAACTGCTACTGGTTTTTTTTTTGTTTGTTTGGTTTTTTTTTATAATTCAGGTAGTTCATTTTATTATTCATTATTATGGTAGCTACACTACCAAAGAATTTAATGTGTAAGCAATAGCACAGAAAGAAGCAGGAAGGCACTGAGCAATTGAAGCTGTTATCACTATCAGAAAGAAGTCTATTAGAAAAGAACTTCTTAACCTTTTTAGACTGTGTCACTCTTTGTTTGATTTAAAATAATTTTTCCATTTTGCCACAGTATGTATCTTGTGTGAAAACTGGTACTCCAGGCTTGACTTGCTGCTTCATAGAATTTTACCAATGCTACACCTTATATCTTGACAGGCGAAACCTCAGAATATGGAGAATAAGGGCTAGGAAGAGTTTTGAAAAAAGAGAACTATTTGGCACTTGCTGCAGCACATAGAAGAATAGGAAAATGGTCTTTGAGGCAACATTTTGGACAGGGATAATTGGAACAACAATTTTAAGGCCAGAGTAGGTTGGTAGAGGAAACAAAGATGTGAAAAAAAAGGAAGGGCAGTGAAAAAGAATGTTATATCTGTGGCAAAGAAGTCATGGTTGAATAGCTACTACACTGAGACATAGCCTAAGTATTTGTACCTATTATAAGCATTTCAAAAGAACTTCAGGAGCATCAGAAGGTGCTGCTAGGGCATACCCCTTCAAAGAGAGAAGTTCATGTTTAAGGCTCTGTCCTGGGTTCAGCTGGGATAGGGTTAATTTTTCACAGAAGCTGGGAGGTGAGCATAGCCAAAGTTCTATTCGATACCACGCTGACGTCATGCCTGGGATATAAGGGGAAGCTAGCCGGGAGAGGGGTGGGGGGGGGTCTTTGTGAAGCTCTTGGTGGTGAGGTTTCCACTGTATCAGTGTTTTCATTGTATTCTGTATCTTGTCTTATTATTACATTCTCCTTTTTCTCGTGTTGTATTATTAAAATCTGTCGTTACCTCAACTCACAAGGTTCCACCTTTTTTTTTTTTTATCCTTTCCCCCATCTTACCAGGAGGGGGAAAGGTGGGCAGGGGAGGGGAGGGAGCAACTGTGTGGTGGTGACAATCTTTTTGGCGCCCAACGTGGGGCAAGAAGGGTTGAGATAACGACAAGTCTGAGCAGCACGTGCTTTAATAATTTGTTACACTCATTTCTTGTATTAGTCAAACAACTTGCTGGTCACGATGCTGGTCCATTCGTTCTCATGGTGGTGTTATGTAAAACCTTACATGGATTATATTTTCCCTCTGTCACTGTTTATCAGCTCAGGGAGAAGGACTGATGAAGGAGAAGGTGATGATTTTGTTGTATTTGATAATGCTGACTGACGATATGATGGCGGCACTGGCCATGCGGTTCGGCGGGTATTACTATGCGGTGCTGTTGTATCTCAGGCGCCCCCTCTCGGTGTTTGTCTGTAATAACACTCAATTTAAGGGAGAAACGAGGCGTACGCGCTCCCACTCCTTCACTTCTTCTCTCCCATTCAGGCTGATTACAGGAGTTTTTGAGAGTTTTGAGTATCCTGGGGATGTTCAAGCCAGCATGTTCTTGCTGCTGTGTCTCCTGATTGTGTGTCAGGCTGTGTTCAGGGTTATACCAAGATTTTGTAAGAATGCCATCCAGAGATCTTCCCCAAGGCTGGAAAGCCATGGGTGGCATGGCATCTGGGAGAATATGGGCAACTATCTAGAGAATTTCTCACCTCCCATGATTTGGAATTTCACACCTGAACAATTGCAGAACCCTGATAGAGTAATAGAATACCTGAAAAACAAATGCTGTAACTATCACAAAGAGGCACAGGTTATCGCACTGTGCTGGGCCCTGGCCAGTATTTACCAAATACTGCTTGATACTATGCAGCGTTCTCAGGGGGAAGAAGAGAAAAACAGACTGACAGCTGCTGCGACTACCCCGCCCCTGCCGACAGCCCCTGCGGCTACTCCGACCCCGCTGACAGCTACTGTGACAGGCACTGCAGCTGAAACAGAGAACCAACCTGTGTCAGTGTTGATCGCCCCTGTACAAAAGAAAAAATATACCAAAAAGTCGGTTCGCTTAGTAAGAGATGATGATGACCCAGGCTCGTCAAGAGAACAGGAGGTAGAACCAGAGATAATCACCTGAACCTTATCCCTGAGTGAGCTGCAAGAGCTAAAAAAGGATTTCGGCCGCTGCCCAGATGAGTGCTATGTTACCTGGCTGCTTCGATGCTGAGATAATGGGGCCGGTAGTCTGGAATTAGATGGTAAGGAAGCCAGGTATCTGGGATCCCTGTCTAGGGATGCTGGCATTGACAAGGAAATTGCAAGAACGACACCATCCCTCAGCCTCCGGAGGCGACTTTTGATTTGTGTAAGGAAAAGATAGCCCTTCAAGGAAGATATTCCATGTCACCTAGGGAAGTGGACCACCATGGAGAAGGCTAATCCCATCATGGAGATGGGATTAGCTGTGCTGGAGGTGATTTATAATGATCCGGACAATGAGCAGTTACCCACTGATCCAGACGAAGTCCAATGCATGAATGCAGTGTGTCAGAAGTTTCTACGAAATGCACCATCATCATATGCCAACTCATTGGCAATAATGCGCTGGAGAGAGGTTGAGGGACAGATGATGGATGAATTGGTTGGCCGACTCTAGCAACATGAAGGAAGTCTCTTTTCCTCCCTACAGGCCTGCATCTCAGCTGTGGAGAAACTGTCTCAGGAGCTCAGGCAGTTCAAAGAGGATATGTTCCACCTCTTACCTGCACAAACCCATGCCTCCACACAGAGACCAGAGGCCCACATCTCAGTTATCAGGAGCAGGTGCTCCCCGGCCCAAGGAAGCAGATATAAAGAACACACACCATGGCGTGACCTGTGGTTTTATCTGCTTGACCACAGAGAGGACGTGAGGATGTGGGATAAAAAACCTACTTGGATCCTAAAGGCACGGGTTTGTGAGTTGCAAGGAAAACCAGTTGTGCCAGGAGATCCCTCCTGGAAAAGTGCCGCTCCAGTTTCCAGTGGACAGTTCGCCAAACAGAGAAGAGACCTGACCTCACTTCTGATCCTTTTGAAGGGACTTCTGATTCATATGTACAACAAGTGAGTAATGGATACTACAGCCAGGATTAGGGGCCCCTGACTCCAGCCAGGTGGAGGAAGGGGATAACTGGGTTTATTGGACTGTGTGGATTCGATGGCCTGGCACATCTGATCCACAGGAATATAAGGCTTTAGTGGACACCGGCGCACAGTGCACCTTAATGCCATCAAGGTATAAAGGGGCAGAACCCATCTGTATTTCTGGGGTGACAGGGGGATCCCAAGAGCTGACTGTACTGGAGGCTGAAATACGCCTAACAGGGAAGGAGTGGCATAAGCACCCCATTGTGACTGGCCCAGAAGCTCCGTGCATTCTGGGCATTGACTACCTCAGGAGAGGGTATTTTAAGGACCCAAGAGGGTATAGGTGGGCCTTTGGTATAGCTGCCTTGGAGACTGAGGGAACTGAACAGCTGTCTGCCTTGCCTGGTCTCTCAGAGGACCCTTCCATTGTGGGGTTGCTGAATGTTAAAGAACAACAGGTGCCCATCGCTACCACAACAGTGCATAGAAGACAGCACCATACTAACCAAGACATCTTACCGGGATCACATGGTGGTGGCCCTGACCCAAGACAGGCTGTCCTCTACAGACGAACGCATTGCTTATACAAGACGAAACAGCTTCAAAAGAAGAGAGAAAGCTCCATCAAATACTTTATGTTTAGAGGATTCATCTTGAATGTAGGAGGTTTAAGTTCAATTCCATGTTTTAAAATCAGGCAAAAGAACTCAAAGTTGTTTTTTGGTGACTGTGTTAAACTCTAGGCTGTGAGGTAGGAAAAAGGAAGAAAGTGTGTGTCCCAGTTTCATCTGCTGGTGCAAAACCCTGTAAGCAGACTTTGAAAAGAACTGGTCAGGAATGAACTAATGTCTGGGAGCCAACTTTCTGTTGACATTGATGGCCATGGTTTTGATTTGTTAACAAAGAACAGAAATACGAAAAGCATCCTAGGATTGTTCTTCTGTCCTTTCAAACAAACACTTCTGCTGGCAAAGTTTGACATGCCAGACAACTAAGCCATACAGACAGATATTAAGCTGTCAGTGTTCAAATTTTTTTTTGCTCTAAAAGGATTAGAGTTGAAACTGCTGCATTTCTGCTACAGTGTGATGATATGACTTCTCTTTTTTAAATTTTTTGATAGTAATTTGCTTTCCAGATGTATTATGTCAAAACAGTTTGTTCATTTTCAACACTTTCAGTGACTCTCATTTTCAGTACCTGTACAACTTTTCTGGTAGCTTTCACTTTCTGTTTATTTCTGGGAATTTACAGCAAAGGTTACATGGACTTCTAAAAACTTTCACCTGAAGTTCTTGGCAAGGGTTTTGGTCTCTTTGGTGCTCTAATGCAGGGTGTTGGAGTGTATGGAGATTTGATAGAGTGGATTTTCAGAGATCAGTGCAGTCAGAATGGCTTTTTTATCCACATTTTTGAAACAGGGACTCCGCTTTAGGAATAAAGCCTGTAATGCTACTCTGTATATGCAAAGGTCTGGACAGACTTAACTGATGTACTATGACTAGCCCTTTTGCTGTCTATTCCAGGAAATATTGATACTGATCCTAGGTTGTAAGGCTTCTTTTATTTGCTTAAGGTAGTGAAGGAATTCAGTAACTCAAATTGCTAACACTTAAAATTGTGGTATTGTCATCCCTGATGTTGTCTGCTGAAATGAACTGGACAATTAAGAAAAGAAAATTATTTGTTCAAGCTCACGTTTTTGTTAGATATCCAGCAATTGCATTTCTGAAAATTTCCTTTACTGTAAGTCCTGATTTGACTTTATGAATCTATGCAAATTTGCATAACTGTGGAGAGCAGTAATACCTGTCCATGTGTGTGCTTTTAGTTCGTCCTCACCCAAGTAAAATAAATACACATCAAATGCAGCTATTTGCTATAGCAGTTTAAACTATGCTGTTCAACCTTGCAGCCAGTAAGCTTTCTCAGAAATGTTCCATTCTGCTCTGAAATAACCATTTGAATGACCAGACCACTCTCCAAAGTGCTGGTAACAGACAGAAGGCAATGGCACCTAAAACTGCTGTAGTTTGCTTTCGTAACTCTATGCCTAAGCCTTGTAAGAGGCTGAGTAACGGAGCTGAAATCAAGGGTTTGTCCACCTCTCTGCTCAAGCAGCAAAATAGAGCTTCAAAGAAACATGTCAGTATGCTGTCCTTCTCATTCTTATTTGGATATTCTTTTGAATAAAAATATTTTTTTCTGTGTCCTTCTGGAAGATATTATAGCTATGTTCTGAGTAGTTTGGTGAAGTGAAGGTTTTAGTGCTCTAAGACACTGACAGTCCCTTGTCCAGAAACAATTTACATTTATTGAGAGCACACTGCTTGGATGTGAAACCAGAAGTTAAATCATTTAATGCTGGTTTTGAAATGTAATTTTTAAAAGTATTTCAGTATTAACACCATTTTGAGGTGAAGAAGGGTTGTTCTTATCTTTCAAGACTTCAGTTCAAGGTGCCAGGTAGGGAGGTTTATATTTAGAATGTATTTGGAAGATGTAATTTACCATCTTTTTAAAAAAATATCAAAACAGAAAGCTGAAAAATTATCTAAAGCAAGTGATTGTGTTATGAGTTCCATATTCCATCTGCAGGTTGTATACATAATCCTACTTAGACAGGAATTATTAAAAATAAATCTCCGTTGCTTATGTAATGATATGTTTTGGATCTCTGTTACACAGCTTTTGCTAGTCTTTTCAGAAGGGATGTACGAAATTCTTCCAGGAAATATCTGCCAGTCTCATTCCTGTTGATTAAGACCACTACTGGATGGCTTATATTCCCTCTTTCTTTCTACTGTTGGAACTCAACACAAGATGCTGTACTCTCATAACCTAACCCTTAGTACTTTAATGCTAAATTGCTCTGGATGAGGTTACATGTGAATTAACCAGAAAAGTCTGTTATGGTGTTAGCCTCAGATTAATCCTAACCACTGCGGGTACACCCTTGTGTGATGTGATGTGATATAATGTAATGTGATGGTGGCCATGTGGTTACTGTTCCCTATCCCTATCTGTCCCTACTTGTTCCTGTCGGACCCTGGAGGTTTGTGCTGAACTGTTTTACCTTACAATTGAAGAGGACCCAGAATAGTTAAGGTAGCTTTAACTACATCTCCAGTAGAGAGACCATTCCCTTAGGTTCAGTGCCAGTGTCAGGTATTTTGTTGTTCCTTTTTTTCTGAGCAGTTTACTTCTAAAAAATACAAAGCAGTCAGCTGTCCTAAAACATAAGGATGCACTGTCTGAATGTTGATTATAAATGAAGGATTTTTCTTTTTTTTTTGGTATATATATGCTTTTATTAATTAGAATAAATTAGTACTTGCAGATGATAACAAATTCCACATTAGTAACCTGTTCCTTGTCATCTACCCCATCACAGTACATGTCAGGATGTCATCAGTATAGCACAACAAAAAATACATTTCAAGTAAGATGAAGAAGTGCTCCTTAAAGAGACTTTAAAGACCCAGATCACTCTAATCAAGTAGCACATTCTTTAGTGACCATTTAAAATCTAAGATCTGGCTTCCATTCAAAACCAGCTCTACAATTAGCAATACTTTCAGACAGTATCAGCTGGGTTCCCAGTGTACATGATAATGTCACAGAATAACCCCAACTGTAACTAATTTAATTAAGACTTGATCCTTGAATACAAAATCACTCCTTTTCACCAAATTGTGATGCTCACTGACCTACAGGAGAGAAAACAGGCGATGCAGTCAGGGAACCTTTCTCTGTCATTTAACCCATTTGTTTATTCAGTTAAAAGGGAAATGTATTACTAGTGCAATTCTCATGAGAATCTCTTTAACATGAACAGAGGAATAACTCCAGGTAGCCACAAGAAACTGCTATTTTACGTAAAAGAATACATTTCACAGTTGTTCCTATTAGACCTTCAAAGATTTAAAGATACTTAAACTCTCCCACTCTACATTAAACATAGCTGAATTTTAAGAGCTAAAATGTCACATAGAGTTTCTAGAAAGTTGATGACTAGTGCTCTGATGGTTCAGTCTGCTAATGGGGGAGGAGAGGCAGAAGAGGCAGAAAAGCAAGAGACTGACTTGGCTTAAAATGGATCTCACAAAATGCTCAGAGGCTTCTTGACCAGCACATGTCGACCTACAAGCTAATATGACATCTACTGATTCTGCAGTTGAACACTCCTCTTTGGGCTTGTGGGTTTTTTTGCCCTGAGGAGCTGACTGATTTGTTAGTGCATCTCTACCTCTAATGGTTTGTTTTAAACAAGCTAGATGTGTACAGCGGGTGCCTCACCTGATAGGGTGCATGAACACCTGAAATTTCTCATACCTGAGGTGCTTTAGTGCCTCATCTTAGGTATTTGGTCACTAGGAAAAGTGCCTACAAACTTGAATGCAGTACCCTGATACCATGAACTACTCACATGGAGAGTTACTCACATGAAGCCTCTGAATAAATCAATTGAACATCAGTTTTGGAGAACATTGAGAACAATCCAGCATGGATATCAGAAAAGGTTTTTTTGCATCACAATTCTGGATTCGCTTACCTGCCTCTGTAGGATTCCTCACTCTAAGTGCCTGAAATTCTCACTCAATATAGTTCTGTTCACCTGAGCTTTTCATTTTATAACGTACATTATGAAACAGTCACACCTTTGCGGTTTGGGTGGGTAGACAGCCCATACCTTAGTGCTGGTCAAAGATTTAAACTGGACATTAAAAAAAAATAGATCAAGGATCTTTCGAAGTGTGTGTCTAATTTCAATTTTATAATCAAACACTTCTTTCATTTTAATATGCAGAATTCAAGTAAGCTGCCTTGAATCTATTGATCTATAGTAGTATCTGAGATATATATATATATTTTTATACCTATGTGTGTGTGCATGTGTACCCCCCCCCCCCCAAAGGATGACAAATGCTGGGGTGCTTTCTATTAGCACTCCTTTTGTCTTTTGATGCAATTGTTTAGTACTGAATAACAGCTCTGCAACAGTCTGGATGAAGAAAGCAAGCCTACAATTTCTAGATTTAACCACCAGAGGTGATAAAACAGGTGCTTTAGGAGGATTCAATTTAGCAAGGCCAATGTGATTAATACCCATCATCTTCCAAAGAGTGCTACCAGCCTGTAAGGATTGGTTCAGTTCTATGTTTCGTATCTGTTCCCGCCTCAGCAGTAGCGCAGCCTTTGCGGTGATGCTGGGGCAGCAGTCAGTGGTGGCTCCAAGGGACCAGTGACATCTGCCCAATGGACTGCCAGGATGTTTCCCACACCACTGCCCTCCTGCCTGCTGGTGGTGTGCCATCTGCATACCTAAGTTTAGATTCTGAGGGTGGGTGGTAATGTCTGCAAAGTATTTTTTTATTACATAAAGTAGAACCAAAACCAGCTGCCAGCTGTAGCTTGGCCTAGATTCCTCCTTGTCTTGGACAGATGATTTCAGTATTCCTTTAACAGCCACATCACAGATTTACACTAATCCAGAAAACCTGTATGTGTTTACCTGCTGGCTGGGAATAGTTTTCTCATGGGTGTTTAAGGTATTTCCTTGAAACCCTTCTTATTGGTGAGAAATGCTGTATTCTTTCCTAGTCTAAGCTAAACACCAGTGAGTTACTCCTATTGGTCTGGGAGAGCTTTGGGCCAGGCTGTTACTGGGTTGCATTGAAATTACTAGAAATGTATTATCCAAATTTTAAATTTTAAGATGTATGCTTTTTTTTTTGTGTTCTCTGAAGACTTGGATTTAAGAGAACAGAGGTTATTGCCACTAGTTTGGACTCACATTGTCTTGATTTTAATTTTTATTATGAATGGAACAATGCCTGTCAGAAAGCCTTCAGCTGCTGTAGATGTAAGGCCTGATTCTGCTTTTTCTTGAGAGAATTTTCAACTTGGTGCTTGCCTTGGCTGGATGAACTAAAGTAGGGGAGATCCATAGTGGAGAGAGAAATGTTTTACTACAGTATTGTGCAGAGAACTGCAAAATGTATGTCTTTCAGTAGACTCATCTTGATGCACATTCATAGCAAAGCATGCCAAACATGAGAAAAAATCCACAGCCCTTTGCGTATAAAAGATACAGCTCAGAGTGACACATGTAAATCGCATGAGAAAATTCAACAGAACGAGGCAGGCTAAGGTTTATGAGGACAGAGAGTTTATTGGAAAGCTGAGATGTCTGGAAAAAGACAAATTTATGTACACAATAGCCTTTCTTCAGAGCTAGCATGTATGTAACACATTGTATCTGGAGCACATGTCCCTCTCCCTACAAAAAAAACCCAAAACAAAACACAGCATCAGGAGAGACTTCACAGGAAAAAAAGGTATCTACCTGAGGCTATTGCCATTCAGATGATAAAGATCACCAGGTAGTGGGGGGATCCCAAGATCTCAGCTGATTTACAGTTTAAGTCAAAGACTCAAATGCGAGACCTGAATCCAAGCTTCCAGCTTTTCCAGCTTCCAGCTTTAGGGGAACCTCATAACAGAGTAGCTAAGAGGATAAATGCACAAACCTCAGTGTTTATGAGGTGCTCTCATCTTTGTTATTGCAAGCTTAATAGCTTCCTCTTTAGAAGAACAGTCCCAAACTCTTCTAATGTAAAGTTATTGGCAACATTTCTGACTGCTAGCAGTTTTTCTCCAACCTGCAGAGTGGTACAGCTCCGTTAAAGATAGGCAGCTGGCTTCTGCAGCAGCCCATGATGCTAGGCTAAGTCCAGTCCTCTAAGGACTGATGGCTTGCTGCATCATCTGTCTTCCTTGGAGTATTCTGGGAGCAGTTGGGTTGCAGGATACTGCTCGGGCCTGGTTCATTTTGTCCACCTTTCCTGTGACATGTCTGAGCAGAGATGCCCATTGTCTCTGCATGTCCTGATGGCAGGAGATGCTGGGGCTCAACTGAAAGTAGCGTGGGCTGTCCTGAATGATTACCAAGACAGAGTGGCAGCCAGATGAGGCACCAAGTGCCGGAGCCTACTTACAGTGCAGGTAAAGGCATCCTGGTACAAGTGCCTCGAGCAAACCCTCGGAAGCATACAGCATCTTGGTATTTCCTTGCAGGAGTAACCAACTGTTTTGCTCTAGAGCCTGCAAGGTAGGTGGTCCAGTCAGCATGAACTTGGTCCTAGTTTTCACGTCAAGACTGTGGATCTGCTGGTTTACATACACTCTGTATGGCTGTGCAGCAGTGAAGCAAGAGTTCAGAGAAGGCAAGGATATGGAAATCCTGACAGCCTTGAGGATCCCTGACAAAGTCCCAGTGTGGTAAAAATGTTGCCCATTTTGTCTTTACGGCATTTATACCTCTGTAATTTGGGGCTAAATCCATGAGACAGTTAGGAGAGTTGTAAAATTGGCATGACAGTGGAATTGGGCTCAAATGTGCAGCAATTATACCACAGGATGAACAACACTCTCGAATGAAACTTTCTGACTTCAGTGACATTTAATAGTGTATCCTTCTAATTACTCTGTATACAGCACATTGTGAATTTTGAAGAGCTAGAAATTGAGTCTAAAATACTAATATATATAGAGAGAAAATGCTATTGAGTGGTATTTTTCATTCCTGAGATATGTAACCTCTGTGACTAATGGTTTTATTATATTTTTCAGGCTTTGTTACTAGTAAGAAAAATGCTTAACTTTTAGAGCACTAATTGTTATAGTACATTACTGATACAGGTCAACAGCTGAGAAACAGACTATATGTATTCATGCTTATTTTTGAATAGCATAAATGTATATAGATCCAATCTAATACTACGTATAAGAGAAACATATTATATAAATGCTAAATTGCATGTCAAAGGCCTTTTTTTTTGGTGCAATAAGTCTTTCCACTACTACCAGGAGTAGGTGTTACTAACTCCCAACAATGCCAGTATTTTCTGAGATTGTATGTCTCACAAAGGAAGAGAAAAAGATTCTGGATGTGAGTCTAAATTTGTGTTTCAGCTGCATTAAACGCTCTTAATAGTATGATTTCTCTTTATGATGCGCTGTGAAGGTTGGACTCTGGTTGGCAGAGTCTGAATCTCAACTCTCTGTATATCTATTGCAGTAGAGGTTGAAGGTGAGGAAATGATAATATGGTACTTGAAATAAAGTGCTTTTGCTAACAGATCAGTGAACATTGTCTATTTATACAGGAGTAGTGGTTAAATCTCTTCTGAGTTTAGTCCATAGCTTGATGAAATAGTTTCTTGCTTGAGAAGACAATGTGCCCATCTGATCTTTAGGCTGGTCAGCAAGGAGAACATTTAACTTTCTGTAGTTTAGAGTAGTGCTTTTTGACATTGTCTCTGTGAGCCAGTGACACGGTGTTAAATGGTATTAGCACCTAGATTCAGTAAGGCGGAAAATAGGACGGCATGTAAACAAGTGAGGCAATTGCCTTGTACAGTAAAGAATACTGAAAATATTTCTTGTGATCTAGCGGCTTAGCATGACCTTGCTCTGACACCATGACTCAATGACACAATCTTATCCTCAGGAGAAGTGGATTTTTAAAGCCTATTATTAACTTCCTATGGGCCAAACAAACAACTGGAGAAGAAATGGGGTCATTTATGGTTGTTTATTTCCTTCTCTTCTTGACACTTCTCTGCCTCCTGATTCTTCCTAGTGCCTGGAGCCTTGCAAAGAGTCCTGGGACCTGAAGAAAAACCATTGCCAAAGCTTCTGTGAGGTATGTCAGCCCAAGGGCACTCTTTCTCACTTTGTTCTAGCTGTCTCTTTCATTTAAACTCTTAGCTTCAAGGAGGCAGCTAACAAACATGGGATTTTTACAGCATTCACCTTCAATTGAATGGATACACATATAACAATTTAGCCATATTAAGTTTTAATTTAAAAAAATGTTATTTTTTTCTGACCAAATGATTTATCTCAACTTTTTAAGACTTGATGCAGCCACACTTAGCATAGCTTCTCTCAGAAGGTACTGTTAAATCCCTCCTGTAAGGTGCTGTTTCTGCCACGTGCCCTTCTATATTTTCTGGCCATGTGGAGGAAAGAGTATCTTTGCTTGAAAGATAAAATGTAATTGTGTGAAAATCCTTGTACAGGGCAGCTAGAAAAGATGGCTTTCCTGTATGAGAAAGTCCATCTAATTTCTAAATTAATATTTTTCCAGGAGTAACTGGATTGTGGACTCCTAGTTCGGAAGTCTACTGTCAAAATACATAATTATTCAGTAACAAGTGTTTGGAAAACTGTTTATGAATCTTGTGAATAAATAAACCTAGATCAGTTAAACTAGTACAAAAAAGGAGGTGGTTTTATTGGATTTAAAAAATGGCTCTGCTGAGTTGGTGGAAGACAGCTCTTACAGTTTTTAAGTGGTTTTTAGTGCAAAATGGAAATAGCATCTCAGTAGAAAGTTACTTTATTGTAACTAAATCAATATAAAGATGCAACTTTATTCAAGTCTATGAAAGTGTATGTTTATGAAGATTTTCAGCTTTTCCTATTAAAAAATAGAAGTGACCTTAATTGATATATTGATCTCACTGATACACTGATCTAACTCCTCCCTCATCACTGTGGGAACTCTTTTTATGGTACAAAAGCATGTCTTATGTTTAAATGATTTTAAGTATCATGAAGATGATTAAGAAAAGTTTTGATTTCAACTAAGAAAAAATCTAGATCCAACTCTGTGTAAATAGGGATTACTGGATTACTGATCTATGTAGTTACATTAGAAGACAAAGTAAAAATTTCTCATGAAAACCCATCCTTGTAAGGGTTCTTTAACCCAAATTAATTGCTGCTTCCTCATATACAAAACTCTAGGGTAGTATAATAAAGCAGTTTTAGTGGATCTAGTGATTGATGTCATTCTCGTATATCACTTCTCAGGCTGTGTATTTCCAGATATGAGTGAAAATATGTATAAAATTAGTTTAAAAGGAAAACATTTGTAGAACACTGTTCTAAAGTAGTTAAAAACCGTGAGCATCCCTCTTTGATTAGTGTTTTGTGGTTGAAGCTAAATTTAGAACTTCAAAGGCTCATAATGAAGAGCAGCACATTTAGCAGCTAACTGAAAAATGAGCTGTGAAATAGGGTGAGGAGGAGAAGCCTTGAGGACGTATTATGCCTCAGGGAACTATAAAGTTTTTAATTAAGTAGCTGCAAATTTGTGATGTTTTAGGATTTGAAATTAGCTTCACACACACACAAGCATGGGACCACTTTCCTTTCTCTCAGACGCATGTATGCTCCATAGACATTATTTGATGGAATTAAATGAGGCTATCTTCTTATAGAGTGTTTTCAGTCTTTTTTGTATTTTGTAAAAAATCTGGAAGCAGCAGTTTAACTTTGTATTTCTCAAGGTCCCTGCTTGGTGTGTTACTTCTTATTTACTGAATGAGTGTACTAATGTTAAAGGAACCTTATGTGTGAAGAAGAAAAGGAGACAGTTTACCTGACTCCTTTTTTTTTTTTTTTTTTTTTCCCCCATAAATTCCATTTCCTGCTTGTTTAGCTTCTTGACTGGCTAATCATGGGATCAGGTGCATTCCAATGGGGGGGGAACAGCAGGAGTACGTGTCCAAGGATCACTGTGGTCAGGAGGAGACTATTAATTTTGTCAGCCTTTAGGCTGGTTAAGCTGTAACACCCAAATGCATCCTTAAAAGCCTGATTCAAAAATTCTAGACTGTTCTGTAGGACAAGATGGGAGAGGTAATGTAGTGGCACATTCTTGGACCACAATGTGTTTGGAGAATAAACTGACACATAGTGTGTGAAACACCTGGGCCTCCATAATAGTGAAGTCTTTCTCGTTTTGACAGAAATATGAGAACAATAAAAATAAGAAAGCAAGACATTTGAATATTGGAGGAAGTTGCAGAAGTTGCATGAATAGTTGGATGGAGAGTGGGTTATAATTCCTGTGTAGGTTTAGGAATCTGTAAATCATGTCTGTCAGAGTGGAGAGTTTTTGGTTTCTCTGAGACAGAAAGGCAGGCTCTAGATAACCCCAGTTAGCCCATCTACAGTTCCACGAATCACTTTGAGTGAATCACTTTGAGGGAATCACTTTAGCTGTTTTTGCACCAAACTAAAGAAAGCACAGGATAAAATAGGAGATGAAATCCCCATCTCCCCAGGTTGCTAGGTGCTATTTTGAATACAGTTTTAAGTGAACCTAGCAAAAATCTGAGTAGTACACATGCTGTAAAATATCTATGCATTGAAGCAATCTCTCATATACCTAGGACTTGATTTCTCAAAGAAGTAGCATTTACTTTGATCTTTAATCAATATATTTAAGGTTTATTTTAATCTGTGTTTTCTTATGGTCATTTTATCAGAATTTTAGTTCCAGTTCCATGAAGAGTTATACAATTACTAATGTGCTGGCAAGAACATCAAGATGCTGCAAAATCTTTTCTTAGCCAACTCAGTTCAAACAGTATAATGAAGCAAGATTTCATTTATTTATGTAGAGTGGCATTACATCGGATATTGTGGGTAAAGTATTATGAAATACAAAGGGAGGAATGTGGGACAGTCCAAAAAAAAGACCGTCTGACCATTTCTTCCCCTTGGTGTTGGGAATGTTTTTAATCTGTCATTGAGCAACTTTGTAGCCAGACAATGTGGAAAACAAGGGAAAGCTGGCAGATATAAACAACTTTATTCCATTAAAGATGGTGGTCTTACTTGAGGGAATTCATCATTCCGTACTTGGAATGCTTTTTTAGAAGTGGTTTGAATATATGAATCTTCAGGGATAGTCTTGCAAAAGCTGAAAAACTGAATTTACCTTTAGGAGGTCTTGGAAAACGTGCAACATTTTTCCCTTTTTTTTTTTTTTATATCCTTTCTTCCTGTTGAAAACTTTATACAATTCTTTTGTTTTCCCTTTAGCCTCTTTTCCCTAAGAAGAATTATGAATGCCTAACTAGCTGTGAATTCCTTAAGTACATCCTGTCTGTGAAGCAAGGGGACTGCCCAGCACCTGAGAAGGCCAGTGGTTTTGCAGCTGCCTGTGTTGAAAGCTGTGAAGCTGATAGCGAATGTTCTGGAGTGAAGAAATGCTGTTCCAATGGATGTGGTCATACGTGCCAAATTCCAAAAAATCTGTACAAAGGTAGAGATTATTAATATGTACTCATACTGGGCTAATAATTTCAGGCCATACTAAAGTCTCGTAGTAAACCAGGGCTGTCATTTCACAGAAGTTTGTATGGATGGGAAGAAAAAGGACAGGCGCCTGTAGGGATGTGGCTGGGCACTGAAAGAGTGGAAAGCCAGAGAAAAATGTTGCTCAAGTTTCTGAATTGTGAAGCCCATGTCTGGAAATCTGTGGAATGTAAACATGTGGCTATTATGAATCATGTTAAGCAGAACAAACTTGCCAATTTAGGTGAAATCTCACTTAATTTGATGCAGATGAGAGAGAATGCGGCAGGAGAATATTTAACAATAAATAGTTCAAGTCCTATTAATCACAAATAACATTTATGTTGATTAGCCAAGCAGGCACGACTACCAAAGAGATAGTGTGAGATGATCTGGTAAAAGATCAAATCAATGCAGTATATTTGGCATTGGTGTTCTTAATGACCTAAGAACAACACAGTGAAAGATAATAATATCCTCATATATAAAAATTAATTATTTAAATCTAAGGCAGTCTTATTCAAATTTTTTTGATTTATTTCAGTCCTCAGATTCTGTGAAAAAAAGGTTTTACCTGACATCCATCAGCAAGAACATATAGACTAAGAAATTATTTGCTTAGACTAACTCCAGATTTTAATTTGTTGGAATTAAAAAAAGCTTTATACATGGAAATATTCTAAAAATGTGCTCCTAACACAGGCCAATGAGCATTTATGAAAGGCATTTTATTGTTCCACAGAATTGGAATGTTTTTTTAGAAAACTGTTCTCCTTACTTCAGTGATGAAAAATAAAAATATTAATCAGTTATTCTTGCGATAGCATGAGCTCTCTGTGGAGAGCCTAATCAGCATAACTCTGAACTAAGCTTTGAGCTTAGGTCTGAATCCAGACTTATTTCCATCTGTGTATGGAAAAAATGTAAAAATATGTGAAGGAGTTGGTGATTTTATTTTTAAGTTCATTGCTTTAGCTGAAATGCTGATGTATCTTTTTGGATGTCCCTAGTGATGAGAATGTATGTCAGAAATAATGTGCTTTAACTTTTGAATCCTGTCTTTGAGAGTACAGGATGGACCATCAGGAAGCACTGTCTTATTTACTTACATAAATGAAGAAAATTTGCTCTAGAAGTTGTAGTGGTTGAGTAAGCATAAATCTGATGAAGATAGTATTCCAAGTATTTTGAACAGCAGGCAATACTGTGATCCAGATTTCCAGTGCAGAAGGGAAATTCTCTTGCTTCCAAGATACTTCGGAGCAGCCCCTTTAAAACTATAAGGAATTAATACACTCTTATACACAGCACCTTTTAAAATGAAAAATATTAAAGTGGATCACTTAGTTATTTCTTTCATCTTCTTGAGACAAATGACCAGAGTGATAAACTGACATTTGTATTGTATATGTAACGATTTCCATGATCAGGCTCCATACCACAACTACAAAGCATTCCAATAAGTGTAACAGCTGGAAAAGGTAAAAACAAAACAAACAAGCAAACAAATAAAATAAGATGACATGCTTTTGGAGAGGACACAGGATATGACAGGATGTGATATGCTCTATAACTGTATGCTGGAAAGTCTACTGCTGTTCAGCCTAATTAGAGAACAGAACTAACCTTCTCTGACATCTTATCACCTACCTGCAGGAGGTGCTTGCTTGTAAGAGCATATATGTCTTGCAGAGGAAGGGCAAGTCCAGTACTGTACTGTCTTCTCAGCTGATGAATTCAGCTAATTAGTCTTTCTTAACCAGTCTTTCTGAAACAAAGGACAAATAGAAGCGGAACAGGCTTGCTATTCATTTCCTCCAGGGGTAAATGACCTTCCTGTTACTAAGGAAGAGCAAACTCTGCAAGCATGACTAAGATCTAGTGAATAAGTTTAGTACTTGCTCTTATCATTCTGACAGCACTCACAGCTAGAAAATGAACTCAGATTGAGTCTAAGAGTCTACAGAAGTTCATGTAGTTTCACTGTTGATCAAACTCTGAAGATTAGTTACAACACCAGATATAAAATACCCATTCAATTTGCTGGGTTTACAAACTAGATTTACTCTCTAGTATCAAGCGCTAATACCCAATCCTAAAAGGATATTAATGTAAGCACAATTGCACCAAAGTCATATATTACAAATGTTGTTGGAGTAACATGACAAGTCCAGTTCCTTGTTAATTGTTTGTTGGCTTAATTTGCTATAATTTGCTTTTTCTACACTCAGCTAGTGACAATTGAAAAAAATTACCCATCAGCTTTTTCCTGTTCAGAAGTTAGTGTTCTCTCAGATGTGATGACACACCTACTTGTGTGAACCTTCCAGGACCCCTTTTTAACAAAGATGTAGGGTACATGGTGTCTAAACCAGCCTAACTAAGTTTGTCTGAAATATGTAAGGGCTCAGTCCATACAGCAGACCAAACTACAGATCTGGGCAATGCAAATTGTGAAGGGATTACATGAAGATTATGTTGGTATGACAACATCACCACAGGACAGCTGGAGCCAAATAGTCATCCACAGTTTAAAGACTCTTTTCACGCTTAAAGAAAAATAATTTTGTATTAAAAAAATAGTGTACAGTTTTAAAGGTGCACAGCCTGATCTAGTGGAAGGTGTCTCTGCCCATGGCAGGGGGGGTTGGAACTACATGATCTTTAAGGTCCCTTCCAACCCAAATCATTCTATGATTCTATGATCCCTGAGTCTTTGAACAACTTCATTTACAATCATACTGATGCCCTAAATGTACCCGTTACTGTCCAAAACCCTTCTATGGAAACTTTTTTAATTCCTGGGGAACTGACATTAAAGTTACAGGTTCTTATGATAGATCAGCCTGCATTTATTTTTCATAGCATGGAGATGCACATGCCATCTGAAAGACACCTTTAGAAACATTTTTCCTGGGCTCTGATATTGCACACATAGAGCAATCAGCGATTTGAATTCTTCAGTTAAGCACTGCAGACTTTAGAGGACTAATTTGTTCCAGCACGATGAAAGGGCTGACCGTTTACATAATAAAAAGCACATTGAGGAGTGATTGGATCTACACATCTGGATATGAAATTGATGGTGCTGGTTCTTCAAAAGTGTTTTAAAATGCGTTTGTGCTGCGCTCTGGTCATTGGTGCTGCCACGCGCCATCTGCACGTAATTACGTAACAGCGGAGGGGCTGAGATGCTTGCAATCAAGTGAATCCAACTGCCCGTAATGCAAAGCAGATGGAAGTTTTCATAACATGCAAATTGTAGGATTGTTGTACATCATACTTAAAGAGGAATTTTCAAATGTGGAAATCTGAACTGACATGTTCTGTGATGTTCATGATATTAGACTAAGACTGCTGGCTGTTGAAGGATATCTGGGGTTTAAACTGCTGTGATAACCAGATTTAAGTACTGGATTTTCCTCAGGTTGATTTTAGGTTTCTACAAGGGCTACACTATAAATTTTTATTTTCTTATAGCTAATCGTATAATCAGATTTAGGAGATGACCTCTTAAAATATAAAAGTGGTTTGCTCACCTGAGGAAATTTTGATATTCAATCATCTGTAGCAGACTGAGTAGGAAACAATTTATTGAACCAGCACATACAGCTGGACTTATGTGGACACCCACTGAAATGACAAAATAACTAAAGTGCATATGATAACTTGCTAAGAAGGTTTATATGTCATCATAGAAATCTTGTTTGTGACATATCCTGAAGTGACAAAATGCTGTGCACTGAAATATATGAGTTCCTAAAGTCTGTCTAGAGCAATGTATTTAACACTTGGTTTGTTGATTTAATCAAAAGATGCCAAATTTGAAGGGTTGTTTTTCCCTTCAGGCTACTGCAGATGTTTTCAGAAAGGTGATATTACCAGCAGTATAAACAACAGAAATAACTGTCCTTCAGTGTCACTGTGTAATGAGAAATTACTGTCAAATTTTAGAAAGACATCTTTTTCTCTGAAAAGTAACAATTGGACAATATACATTAGATATATCTATTCCAAGATGCCTTGGAATTACCTCTCCTAGATCTTTAGGGAAGCATGGAGAGTGAGGCGTCATACAGTCCAGCTGCATGTGAGTCATGCTGCTATGGAGAAGGCAAACAGCTTTCTTAAGTACATCATGCTAATTTAAGAAGTGTGAAATAATCCTGCTTCTCTAGTCTACACTGGTAAAAGCTTAGACACAGTCTGTGTCCAGTTTTAGGCTTGACTCTGGAGAAGGGCTGTGGGTCAATGGGACAGTTTCCAGAGACAACTGCAAGAATCATCAGAGGACTGGAAACACTGATTTAAAAGGCAAACGGAGTGCACTGTGGTTATTAGACTGAAGAATAAAACATTCAGAGACATGATAATGGTCTTGCTGTACATAAAAGGCTCCTCCATAGATGAAAGAAGGAATCTGTTCTCCACAATCCATGAACATCATGGACAAGTACTGAGTTTAAGATGCAGTGGAGGAGAATAAACAAGGTAGTGAGAAAGCTTTCTAATTGTAAGGATAGAGAAGTAGTGGAACAGATTGCTATGTGATGCTGTGGAAATTTTGTCATTAGATGTGTTTAAGGACAAATTAGATGAAAGACTAAACAACAGGTATATCTGATTCTGCTTGAGATCAAGGGGATCTTTCTCCAGGTTATCAAATAATATTTGGAAAGAGGTTTCTGTCAGATCAGTTTTAAATTACAACTTTCAGATCCTTTACATTTTAAATGAAATAAAAAAAAGATTTTGAAGATTTTTAAAAACAAGTTTTACTGTTAGCAGAGGTAGGTCAGCTATGAGCACTTCTGAAACTCCCATGCTCAGCAGCCTGTCCATTCTCCTGTTTTTTCCTTCTGTCTGAACAACAATCTCCTTTTTTTGTTATTATTTTTTATACAACTTTCTCTGCATATCGTTTAATCACGTCTTGTAAATTACTCACATATTTTTGTCTACACGTTTCTATTACAGGTGTTCCACTGAAACCCCGAAAAGAATTAAAATTCATAGAACTTCAGACTGGAGACCTGGAGGTGAAGTGGTCTTCAAAATTTAATATTTCCATTGAGCCTGTGATCTATGTTGTTCAGAGGAGGTGGAACCAAGGAATCCATCCAAGTGAGGATGATGCTACTAACTGGCAAACTGTGGCACAGGTCAGCTCTTTGTAAAGCAATATACACCCCTTGCTATGATCTAAAAGTCTTCTCCAGGTCAGAGAAGAGTTAGATCGCAGGTGGGGAGGCTCATGCAGAGGGATCCCTTTATAGGGTCTCTGTCCTGGTCATGACAGAGCTGCAAACAGAATTCAGATCTCCAAGGCCTTACTTCACTGCTCAATGAACTGTTTTCTAGATTTACTCAGGAGAAATAAACTTCAGTATTTTCCAGTTTTTCAGTTGTAGAAATCAAATACATCAAATACCTTTGGCATGTGTTGAAAATGACTTAATAAAAAATGTGTGAATATATCAGTAAAGAAGTAAATAGTGGTTTCCTTGTCCCCGAAAGAAAAAATACTCTGAAGTTTATGTTTTCAAAAGGAGTTTATTTTGTGGGTTTGCTCTGTATAGATTAAAATCTATAGAACTATCTGGAGGCTTGATTTTCATAAGGACAGAGAGTGGCACTTTCTTCTAAGCACATACTTATGATCTATTCAGATGGTAATTCTAAAGTCTGTGAAAGCCACAAATCTCTTGAAAAATGTAGAATTGGATACCAAAATCCACTGAAGGAAGCACATAAGAGACATTGTCCTTTTGAGATCAGTGGGACTCAGTGCACAGTCTCCAAGGCATGGCTTGGGTGTTATAAAAAAAGATGAGAAATACAATTGGTGAAAAGGCTATTTAATTTTTAAAAATAAAACAGTGAAAAAAAGGGCTAAAGCCTCTCTTCTTTATAGAGTTGTTTTTTTCGGATGTTACCCTCCCAATTCAGAAAAGACTATGATGTCATGCTGTTATCACTAAGTGCAATCCAGACTGAAAATGTAAGATTCATGAGCAAATGTTTCTTAATGAGAAGCAGCCAACAGAGCATAAATTTTCACTTAGTTCCTTCCCAGTTTCAATCTGTTTTTTTAACATGCTGACAGTCCACCTGGATGGCAGAGTTCTAGTCGTTCATCTTAACTGTTTCACCCTCATCCCTGCTGACAAGAAAATAAAACGATTATTTTGAAAAGACCTGCAAAACATTGTTATAGCTGGGGAAAAAAAGGAAAGAGAATAAATAGAACCATCCACAAAATAACTAAGGAGTTTAAATTCTTTAACAATCTGTGTTCATTCTCAATTCAGACTGTGTAGGAAAAAGCTATCTTAAAATAGTGTCAAGCTTGTAAAACTAAACACACAGAAGGGAAGTTCTTAGATTCAGTGTGGTGCTACAGGGGACTGTCACTGTGTTAGAGTCTTGCTGAGAAAGTCACCTGCAGCAGAGCCTGGCATGAAACCCTGCTTTTACAAGCCCGAGGGAATGTGCACACCTCCAAACCAGATAAAATTGCAGTGATTTATTTATTATCTCTCAACTGAGGTGCAGGTCTTCAATTTGTATTCTTCATATTCAGCAACCTCATGCCTTTGCTACTAGGAAAATCCCATGTAGCTAAAATGAGCCAGATCCAAATTACTCCTCACTGTTATCATGCCATATATATGTGCTAGACTGTAGAATCCCAACTCTTCTGGCTGGTAGATCCAGACTGCAAAGGTAGCACATTGCTGCGCTTTTTCTCAACCCAGAAACAGACCTCACGCACATTTCTGGAAGCATGCCTCTGCCTTCTTGCAGTGGATGTACCGGAGTGTTTCAGAAATGTGTTCATGTGCAAGAGTGATAAGAATCCTGACAGCTGCCTTTCCTGGGGGTCCTGTTAGATGTGGGTAGAAGGGGCTGATTTAATCTGTCAGGAGAAGCCTTCCCTGACATCTTTCTGAGAGCTTCGCTGTCCCTTCTGCTTCACAAGAGACGTGTTTGATTGCATGATGGACCCCACTGGGGACATCAGTTCAGAACAAGCTTCAGGATGGCTGAATGGCTTTGTGAACTGTGTCTACCTTATGGAGCATACAGGCTGGGCACCCTTGAGGGGTGCTAGTAGTCAGAATTTCTGTCTCTATAGAGTATTGTACCTCCATGGTGTTTGTAGTTTTAGACATCCCACCAGGCAGTCAAATTTGTTAAGTGTAGCTGCATGCGATAGAATTTATTTTGCAATATCAGCAACAAGGATGGATATCCAGTTTGACTAAAGTGACTGTGTGCACAGCTTCTGGGCTTTTCTTGTCCATATAACTGAGAGTTTTTTCTTGCATGATTCCAAAACATTGGGCTATGAGTCATTAATTGTAGGCAAAAGCTGCAGAGAGCTCAGCTGTTCGGCTGAGAACTCTTGGGGCATGCCAGTCCAGGGGAGATGATGCTGGCTCTTTCATTACTCTGTGACTTAAACTAGAGAGCACGTAAAAAGCAGTCGAAGATCAAAAAGGCTGTGGGTGAGGATCTGAATTTCTCTATGCCTATGCCCATATGTAGTGTAATTATGCAAAGTTATTGTTTGCATCTTCCTATAAGAAATTTCATAATATTTTATCAGAGTTCCTCATCCAGTACTCTGTTTTTACTATCTGTCCAAGAAGAAATGGGGTTATAATTTTCAATAACGTTATCTTAAGTTATTTGTTTAAAAAAAAAAAAACCACCAAACTTTGCTGTTTTCTATTGCCTTTACATGAGCTAAGCAAGTAATTTCTCATGTCTCACATAAATTTTTATTTGGCATTGAAATAATAATTTTGAAAAAGTTCATTTCCTTTGTATTGCATTGTGTCATCAGGTCTTTTTTGATATTTTCTTTTTAAGGGGGAAAGCTCAATCTGTTAGTGTGTTATTTGTTTAACTCTCCAAGTGTGTAAAGAAAGCAAACACCTTGAAAACAGCTTTTGCTATTTTTCACTTCAGGAAGAAAGGATTTTTTTTTAACTTTAGGTTTTTTACTGCACATTTTTTGTAAAACTTGGCATAACTAACCTTTTAACTAATTTCCATTGGTTACTTATAAACTACAGGAACTAAGATACCAGTTAGCCTGGTTAGCTATGATGTACACTGTCCTAAGTGGTCATGCCAAGTTTCTTACACTACAATTTTTTAAGGTTTAACCAGCTGAGCAGGACCTGCTGCACTATGCCATGAGAATAGCGTGTATCTTGTGAACAAACTTACAATCCTGTTTAGTGCTAATGGTTTCTAAAAATAATAGTATTAATGTTTCCATTGGAATCTTAGAGAGTTAATTGCATTAAGCTAATTAAGTTGATTCAAATATGCCAGGTCAGTTACTTTCAGAGAGAATACAACTGTGTTGTGTGAATGGATGTCAAGTATGTGTGTGTATACGTGTATATATATATACACATACACATATATGTATGTATACATATGGGCAGACAATAATGAAGTTTCCTTATTAATTTATTCCTTTATTAAAACAAATAAGGAGCTGTATTTACTGCTAGCTTGATTGTGACACACCTTACTGCTTCGCCTCAGAATTGTCTAAACTCTGTGGACAGCTAATCTTTTTTGAAACTTAAAGCTTCTGAGACATCTAAAATTCTGGTTCTGAGTATCCCAAAAAGTTTCTCAGCTCTTTACAGTGAGAAATCTCTGCTGGACCTCACCACCAGTCCTGTACAATAAAAGTTTATTTCCTCATCTCCCAGGAGAGGTCTTGCTTTGGTAAGCATTCTTAGAGAGTGCCCACCTTTTATGGAATTGGATTCACTAGAAATACGGGAAGTCTGCTGTCCTCTGATAGAGTAGTGGCTGCAGCACTGTCAGGTTTCTTCTGTATCAGAGGAAACATAAACTCAACTCTTCTGATGCCCTGGATGGTATCCCTTTACTCTCTGAACTGCAAATACTTTTATCACTGTGTGTTGTCTCAAAAGAAGATGCAGAGCTATGAACTCAGCAGGGTAAGGCTCTCCTATTTCCATTAAACCTTTGCCCTAAAGAAAGGAATCCAGGATTGATAGTATGAGAGAAAGGGAATGAACACAGTGAAACTGTCTATTGATTACTGTAATACCCCTCAGCAGGCCATTTAGTGGGTTTACATTAATACAAGATATTGATAAGACTCTGAATATTATAATATCAGCTCCAAACATACTTAAGTAGTGGGAACTAACTGAAGCAGTTAAACAAACAAAATCAATTTACCATTAAGGTAGTACAAGATATCTCAGCTGTATTTAGCTTTTTCTTGAAACTTATTAAATCTGTGTAAAGGTTGCTTAGAGGTGCGAAGTAGTTTATGATGCAGGGGTTACACCTCCTGCATACAGTTAAGTTTAAGAGGAGCTTTGCCAACAAAATGAATTATGAAAGTAATAGACCCAAGGCATGTTCATAAATTAAAATAATTTTGGTGATATGGATCAACAGATTGTTTGTTTTTACAGTATTTCATGGTTGCCATGGAAGACTGAAACAACTGAAATCCTTTCTTTTGATCAGTCCTAGCAGAATAACTTAGCTGATGCAAATGATAAACAGGATTCCTTAGCTGAGGAATTTGGGGTCAAATCTGTTCAGATTATGCTTGCCTTGTAACTAAATTCAGCAAATCTGTTTTAAAAAACCCACTAGTAACTAGTTAATTACAATTAGATATTGATCCTGATCCTGATCTGAGTTGCAGCAGTAGCCTGTTCAGAGTGCATCTACGCTTATTCCATACTTCAGCAGTTAAGGCACTCCTCACAGAAGGTGGAAATTGAACTCATGACACTAACAGTCTCAGTGGGTGTTGTTGGAGAAAAGGTCATCTCCTATGACCTGAGAAAGGTCTGCAGGGAAGAGTTAAGGCTGTGAGTGTGTTTTTGACAGAAGTGCCAAAGATCTGAAGAAGGCTTACATTCATTACCTGAGGGTTTCGTGTTTCCTATGAACCAGAAAAGGCAGCTTCTCACAGCACTGGATTTCGTGAAGCCATTTTGGACCCTTAATTCTCTAAGAATTGAGAATTGGAGAAATGACTCCTGTGACCCAGGGCAATGAGTTCCCTGAAACATCAACACCTGAACAGCTAAGCCCTGTACACTGGTGAAGGTTGTGATACCTGGACACCTAATTTTGTGAATTTAACACTTGACCAATTTTCTAAAGGTTACTTTTTTTGCAAAAGAGACCTGCAATGCACTGTAACATTGGGTGGTTATATGATTTTGTTCACAGCTGTAAATGCTTTGCAGTGCAGAATGATGCTCGGAGTCAGGTGAGGTGCTTGCACACAGTCTGCTGACAGTGGTGCATGTTAAAGAAGTGCGTCCCCTTCCCTTCAGTCTGACTAACCAGTTGCTGCATGGAAGATGATAGCACAACTAACCATGTCAGAACAACAAGTGTAAGTGTGACATTTTCCCCACCAGACTACGGATGAGCGGATTCGTCTGACAGATATCCGAGCAAGCAGGTGGTACCAGTTCCGCGTGGCAGCTGTCAATGTGCATGGGACGAGAGGCTTCACAGCACCCAGCAAGCACTTCCGATCCTCAAAAGGTTGGTTTTGGTTCCCTATGTCTGGTGCTCACCTTCCACTCACTCACATGTGGAGCACAACCTGATCTGCCTACTTTCATGGCAGAAGGTTTTTAACAGGTGGGTTTTTGGATAGTTTTGCCACTGGCTTTAGAAAAAGTGTGAGAGTTGTTTGAAGTTGGCAAAGGAATTAAAGGTTAAAGATGTCATTATTCTTTTATCAGTAAGGGGTCTCAACGGACAAACCTCCATTTAAACATTTTCTGCATGATTGGTATCAAACAACATGACCCTGACCATGAAAACATGAAGGAACTGGGGTTTCAGCGTGTTATTCTGAGAGGTTTCTCTTATTTTTCCTGTTAGCTATGAGAAATATGTTCCTGCCATGTGTTTCACAGAGTACTGAAGTATTTTGTTGTCTGTATCTAAATAATTGGAGCGGCATTGTTTTGATGGAACTGCAGGCTCTCTTAATATAACTTTACCCTTGCTAGCACTAATGGTAAGGGCTTAAAAATAAAAAGGGCATAAATGCTAAGTAGCATGTTTCTCTTCATTAGAAAGGCATGCTGGACAATCCACAAAGTATTGTAGGAATTTTTGTTGCCATTTCTGGTTTTGCAAGGGTTTGGGTAATAAAATAATTTTGAAAATTGTTTCTGTACCTGTAAACAGTACTTGGGGAGTGGGGGAGATGGAAACAGATCTCCCATCCTGTGAAGTTGCTGGCATTGTCCCTCATGTGCCTTTGACCCACACAAAGCAGAATTTTCCTGAATGACACTCAGGCATAGTATGGGAGTTAGCACAGGCCAGAAAATATTCCAGACACATTAGGTGGTCTGGATGTGGTCACCCTCTCTTAAAGACTGTCGATAGTGTGGGCATAGCCAGACCATGCTAGTTGACTTTAGTGCTACAGAATGAGATCTATCACTCTTCGCTCTACTGATAGAGGTAGTTTCTAACAGAAAGACTTGTCCTTGTTTTAGCAGTGACAACACATACTTTGAGGAATACATTTCCTCCTCCTTCTTCAGATAGAACTATCTTGCAGTACAGGCAGTTGCCATCTATGAGTTCCAGTGCTAGCTTTAGCTTGCTATTTGTCCATAGTCAGTCCTAGAAAAAATTGTATTGTAATTGAAGTTATAGAGGCATTCGAGTGCTGTGGCTGGTATGGATGGTTTAATTACTTACTGAATAAGTATGTTAGATTCAATACTTTTTTGGTGCTATAACCACATTTGTGGGAGGAAGGTTGGCTGGCACAGCTGTCTCATTACTGCTGTGACATTTTCAAGTATAAAAGAAGTATTATTTTAAAAATTTATTATACTTAAGTAACATATAATTTCGGTCACATCAAAAATACAGTTCCTTCAAACTGTGTTGAGCTTACTGCAAGGACTCAGCAGCAGCAGTAGCTTTCTCTTTGCTTTTCTTCATGAGCAGCACTTCAGCAGATACAGCAGCACTGTGTTGCTGAATCTGGCACCAACTTTCTTTTAAATTCACATTGTTGTCAGTTGTTTTACTGAGTTTGTAAAGATTTTCCAACTATTCTGCTTGGAACCACTATAATCACAATTGCATAAAGGTATATCATGATATCACTGAGGTTTTGGCTTAAGAATGACATTTTCAGGCAGGATTTGTATTACTTTCCAAAAAATTCGTCTCCTACTGAGTGTGCTAGCCACAGGAGTATATTGTTCAAAATACCTACATTGGTAATGACTGCAAGAACATCCATGGTAGGTCATACAGATGGTCTCTTTAGCCCAGTATCTGACCCCAGCCAAAAGTGAGTTTTTGGAGAACAGCATAAGAGCAGGATAAGCACATAAGGATATTTCGTCAGAACAGCCGCCCAGCTGGCAGTGAGTTGTGTTTCAGGAGCTTGTGGTTTTGAAATGATTATATGTTAGATACCAGAGTCTTCTTTTTCTGTGGTCTCTGCAGCTACCCCTGAAGCACTTGCTCTCCTTGAGTGCTGCTCATGGCTGTCTGGTGGAGGTGGGGAGCACTTTCAGGACTTTGTGGCAAGGAGAGCAGGAGCTGGTAGTACCTCTGCACGTTCTTGCCTAATAAACCAAAATAAAAGGATCTTGATAATGGCAGAAAGTATATAGCCAGCATTGTTCAAATGGCTTCTATAACGCTCAAAATAACAATTTTCAAATCTGAATTCCAGCCCTTGGCAGAGAATTGTGAATTGCCAGACTAACAGCAAGCAGTTCTGTCAGCTCTCAGCTTCGTAGCCAAAATCATCCTATTCTGGCAGCTCATTTGACTACTTTAGAGGCTTTTGTATTGTCAGGCTTATTAAAAAGATACCATGTTCTTCAGATGAAACGTGCAGAAGTGCTAGGTGACACAGATTTAGATGCTGCTAGGTGGTGACTGTCAGAAATGATACTGGGATGCTGTAATCAGCATCTCTGTCCCCAAGCAGGCACTCATAGCAGTAACAACTATAGTGTCATATAGGCATTTAATTACTACTTTGGAGCTCAGTGGGAAGTGGTGGCCCCTGCCTGGCAGAAAGGCAAGAAACTGCTTCTTAGATGTGTCTAGTTTTTTGAGTGCCAGCATCTACTGGCCCCTGCTGAGCTCCTACAGGCACATTTAACCTCCAGTTTGGAAAAAGAAAGTGGACTTTGGCACATCACCTTTGGAAGTTTGCTGACTGTCTGTGCTACATTTATATGAAGTGTGGACAGAAATTCACATTAGTTCTTGTACTGTTTCGGTTCACCCTCTTGTGCCAAGACCAAGAGAAGATTATTATCTTCATCAGACTTAATGGAAGTTTCCTTCAAAAAGAAACCCTTTGGTCAGGAAGCATGACAGCAATTCCTAAGACAGTTTCTCACACAAGATGCTGAACTTTTACCAATTGATTATAACAAATAGAAAATCATTTGGGTTTGTTTTTTCTTTAAAGGAGGACAAATATGATATATAATCTGAATCTAGGGAGGAATATGGCACCACAAAGTCTCTGTCACTAAATGTTTTAAGCTGTTAAAAAGCACATTCAAAAACATTGGTACTGTAATTACTTGGGGAGACACTTTTTGTCTGGTTACCACAATACTGTTTTATACTATTCTGTGTTTTTTGTAAATGCAAAAAATACGATCTGTGAGTAGACACAGCAAAGTAAGGTTTTGTTTTATTCAAAATAATATTAAGTCTTCTGAGGTATGTAATTTCCATTATTTTTTCTATCACTACATAAAGCTTCGTATTATCCAAATAAGTTTAATTTCCGTAATGAAAAAACAAAACCAGGAAAACAAGAGTATTTCATTAAGCATTCCAGCTTACCATTCTTCATCTAGTTGTGTTTTGAGTTTTTATCTACTGCAGCTTTTAATGCTCTTATACTGTACATGTTAGAGGTGAAGGTTTATTAGCTGTTTTACACTGCCCCATGTGTTCATTTATGGCATTAATCTATAAATAATAAATAATGAAAGTGACACAGCTGAGATAATTTATGAAATATTGAGGGCTTAAGCAGGGAGATTTTTTTAATGCTGTTTATTTCTGTTTTGTAAAGGAAATTAAGGATTTGCATGTGCTTGTCTGGCATGGCCCTTCAAATGAAATGAAGTGATGCTTCATTTCACCAAAATACAATTCCAAAATGACAAAGAAACATAGATTAGACTCTACCTATCTGTTCCGAGCAGAGTGGCTGAAAGATGACGCAAATACTGCACCTAGGAGACAGGATCCTTTCCTAGAAGTAGAACTGTGCATATGGATTTTCAGGTTGATACTATCAGCTAAAATCGATCAAAACTTTCTGCTATTTTGACAGTGGTTTCCACTTCACATTTCAGGGTTTTTAAATTAGGTGTGCTTCCCTTTTCATCTCAACTGAGTGGCAACGATTTTCAATAACAGCAATAAATAAAGCTAACAAATGCCTGGCAGAACATTTCTGATCCCGAAAGGTACAAATATATTTTTCTTCATATTTTGACTGTCTCTCTCCAAGCTGCTTCATTTTCTCTGGAAACAGGAGAGGACTTTTGCTACAACCCATAAATGAGTCTCCTTGGATGAAAGGCTACCTGTGCTTTTCTCTCATTAAGCAGGCACTGAATAGCCTAACCCAACTGGTCAAAAGCTGCTCGACACTAGTAATGCAATGTTTAACTTGTTGCATTTGTGTAAGAGTTTTTAGGCCATTTTTTTCTAGCTTTTTATGATTTATGATGAGAATGAAGTCTTAGTAACAGAGGCTGCAGTTCACTAGAGGGATCAGTGTTAGGCATTTCCATATAATATATCAACTTGCTGGTACTGTAGTGAGATACTGGGCCATTTTCCTAGACAAAAAGAGGCTATAAGATGAACACAATGACCCCAAAACGTCCAATCCTTCTACCTCTGCCCAAGGTTTTTATCTTCAACGTGAAGGCAGCCACTAGCATACACAGGATAAATTGTCAAGCAAAAGGAAGCAGACAACATTGTTTTCACTGCACGTAAGTACCATGCTGGATGTGATTTCATGCATACATTACTGAGTGTTAGTAAAACTAGAACAGACACCCACTCCTGGCAATAAAACTCTTTCTGTTGCTCCTTTGAGACCAATGATTTTTTTATACTGTTGCACAGCTGGTTTATGTGTGCCATTTCCATTGGGCAAAGCCAATCCCCTCGCTGATGCCTTGGAATTGTTTAATGGTTGAAAACTTGTCTGTAGAGCAGCTTCAGCAGATTTTTAGAGTTGGAACGTCTAGTGTTTAAAAGATAGCAATGGGAGATCCATTTTAAGGCAGAAAAAGTTCTATAAAAAAGCATTTAAATTAGAGTCAAACTTGCTATCAATTTTACAGCTCAGAAGGAGAATACTGGTGCCAATGTCATTATTTTCTTCTCTGAGATATATTCCAAATAATTTACTGTTTTCGTCAAGAGTTGCCACATTTAAAGCCAAAGTGGATGCGTTGCAGCAGTGTATGATGTGATTCTTGTGTATAGCTTGCCCATACTGTTTTGTTACAATTGCAAAATGCTTCCAGATCCTATTAACTGAAAAAAAATTTGTAAAATATAAATTGTCTATCACCATGTTTACAAATATGAGTGTCAGAAGATTTGCGTTTTGAAATGGCGATGATGTGAGGGTTTTCTATTTTTCTTTCATTTGCAGCAAGGAATCCTCCCTTTTGGGGACTGGAGACAGAGTTTCACTTGTGATGGCTAAGTAGCCAGCAAGACAAGAATTGAATTCCTTTGGGTATACTCAAGCCAGATGAAATCCAGACAAATGGAGTACTTACTCCATGTACTGGAACAGCAGCTTCAGCCTTGACCTAATGAAGCTATCATTTCTAGCAGCGAGAAGTGATTTACTTGTCAGGCTGCTGAGATCAGAATTTTTTCGGATTTGAGGACTGCTGCCTGTGCCAAATTCTAGTGTATATACAATGCCTTTTATTTTATTTGAGTTGTATAAACTGCAAAGGAAAAGCTGCAACTAGGATCGCTCTTTCTGCAAACCAAAGTATTTGATTTAATGCTCAGATAAATTCATGTATATAAAATTTCAGAACCTTACATTTTAAAAACTGGCAGTAGTTTCCATTCCATTGATTTGATGTTCATGTATCTGAATTATACATGTGGACAGCCAGTCAAAAGGGTCACAGATATATGAAGACTAATAGAATGGCTGTTCGCTTTATAGTCAGCAGGTTAACAAACACTTTATGTATATACACTTTATAATCCAGTACCACTTATTAGACTTTGAAATATTTCAGCATGAGTTGTACACTGATTTTAATGTCTGCATAGACATAAATGTAACAGAGCACCTTGTAGAAGCATGACTTTTCCATCCAATAATGCAATAGTGAAGGCTCAAAAAAATCAGAAAAAAAGAAACAACTAATCCGTTATCTAGTAACTGGCAGGCATGCACTATATATAGGAACATGCCCATTTACTTAACAGGTTTTTGGGGTTTGGGTTTTTAGGGGGTTTTGATTTTTTGCGGGGAGCTTTGGAGAATTCTGAGGGATTTTTTGTTGGTTTTGTTTTGTATTTGAGGGTGGGGTTTGGGTCATCATCACTTAATAACAGAAATCACAGTATCTTGCCTTGCTGCTATCCCTTCTCACTTGTTTGTTTTGCTGATGAAACTCAGTCCTTTCAAATGAAAGAAAAGACTAATATTCTTGGTATTTTGGCTTACAAAATGATAGCTCTGTCAGTTGTAATAGTGATGAGTGTTGCAGAAATATATAGAAAGAGTAATAATAAATTATATAGTTGTATTGAAATACTTAATATGACATGGATCCTCAGCTGGTATAAAATGCTCACTAAGTGGCTTCATATTTCAGGTAATACACCCCAAATCTAAGAAACATTTTACTCTACAATCAGATAAGGTTTTTTTTTCCAGATGATTAGATGCAAAACTGTAATAAATTCAGTTTGTTAATCTTTGACATCTTATGTCCTTCTAGTTTATTATTTTCTCTAAGTCTAGTTTTACTAGTTTTAAAAAAGCTCTTATAGAAAATGTGGCACTTTCAGACATCTCGCCTTTTCATGTCTGTCGCCTGCAGATCTCCTTTCTTTCTGTCTTCTGCTGCTACCACCACCACTCTTCCTCCTGTTCAAAGGCATTTTTGTCGATGACATTTGCAAGAATTGCAAAGGAAAGACTTGGAAGAAAATGGGCCTTCAGGAAAATGTTTCTGCTATTGCTGTATTATTTCCCATGCATATTCCCTTGAAGAGAATGTTCTTTCTTTCCTTAACTGTAACTACCCAATGATTTTTAATGCAATGTTTACATTCTCCCATAGCAAAAGAGAAACACTACTAGGTTTTCTTTCAAGTAAGGGTCCGCGTTTTGTCTGCCGACTGGACTGTTTACAGTGAAGACAGAAGAAATGCTACTGATAATGTTTTCAATAAACTGTACAATTGTAAAAAGTGCAGGGTGAAATGCTGGTGCTGTAGAAGTCGGAAGAAATGATCTATTGGTTTCAGTATGCACATAGTTCTTCCTTACTGTTTTCTTTTTCTGCTTATACTACTGGGAAAAACAGAGATATATGAAGTTTCCTTAAAGGAAAAACAAATTCCTGTGATTCTGAGACATATAAAAGCTCTGTTCTGGTCAATCACTATCTTTATAAAAGGAAAATTACATGCTATCTTGCATTTATATGGGGACAGAAATGTTTGTAAAAGGAAGAACATAAACCTAGTAATTTGCTTTTAGACCTGTTAAATATTGGTGAATAGACTTTAGAATATTTTTAATTGTGTAATACACTTTGTCCAGAAGAACTATTTAATTGTTTTAGTGACTCTCAGAGTCTTTTATATATGCAGAATGAAGACAAACGTGTTTTGTGGTTAGAGTTGGTTTTGTTTATATCTGACCATTTGTGAAGATGTTCTCTGAAACATTTTAATTCTATGCAATATCTTATGTATACATAATACATGATCCACAGTGCTTTTGGGAAATAAACTGAATAATTCACCTACAGTAATATGATCATGTTGCAGTTCAGATTATAAATGTTTTATTGCCATAATTCATTGTCGTATAACATAAAACCCCCCTAACATTTTAAATCAGTGAAGATGAAAGATTTTGGATATATGAATAATGATTCTGTTTATATTTATTGCTCCTAAATTTCATTTTATATCTACTTATTTTATTAAAATATAGAAGTAAATTAAAAGTTGTGTTAGAGAACAGTGCAAACCATTTAACTAAATTAATCTCTTAAATTTATCCCCTCCAATATCAATAGCTTTGTATACTTTAAGATGGAGTTGTTGGCTACTTCACAGGTAAGGAAATAAGTGTAAAGACAGTGCTTCTCTGGAGCAAGAAAAAAATAAAGGGAACTGGCTTGCAAGCTCATTAAAAAGACAAGGGAGAAAAAATAAGGAATTCTCATTATTTTGAAAATTAAGTTAAATTTCCAGAATTCTTAAATTCAAGTATGCTTTGTAAAACTTTATAGCCAAAAGTTAAGTTGAATTATATGTGTCAGGAAACAGGGACATCCGTTACTATTTAACTAAAATGGCATGTGTGAGGAAACAGGAGCATCCATTGTTTTTTAACCAAGAGTCCTGTTAAATAACAAGGATATGCCATTATTTTACTTCTGCTGATCTTTAAAAAGGAAATGCTGTCCTTATTAATTCTGAATGTGTCAGTTTGCATGACCTAAATAATGAAATTTTTCAGTGAGACCATTTGTCATAGGGGTTGTCTGATGAACTTAGTATGCCTGGAAAGTTTATCTAACAGCTCATTTACCGTTATAAAAAAGATGCAGTCAATGAGTGCCTGGTGTCCCCTGTGCACACCTCCAGTTTTATTTCTAGAAAATAAGTATTGGCTCATGTGACTAAAAAGTTATATGAAAATGTGTTTTTTGTTTTTTGTTTTTTTGTTTTTTATCAGATTGTTTTTTTCTTGGCTTCAGGTTCATAACATGCCTTAAATACCATGAATTTCCTTTATTCTGCCTGATATAATTTTGTTTGAGTCACACTGTTTGCTTTTACTAAAATTTTGTTTTTGCAGTTTCCTTATATTTTTTCAGCAATGTTTGGCTACTGTGGGCATTTTTTAAAAAGTAGGAGTTAGAAAGCAGGACTAAAAAGTAGGAGTTAGTAAATAGCAAATCAGAGTTTCAGAAGATCAGCTGCAAAATTTCCATTGATTCACATAACTCATGGCCAGGATATTATATAGTAGGTCCAAAAGGAGGATCCGACCCGACATTCAATACTGGAAAAGGTTCAATATTGGAACCTCTGACTATCAGGTGTCCTTCTTGTCTCTAGGGTCAGCACAGAGAAAACTGAGGGAATAATATCAGTTGATATTGACCAGAAATTAAGCCAGAATAGGGAAATAAAACAGAAAATAATTTTTTTGTTGTTGTTCTAAAAAACCCCTATAGACTTCTATGACATTATAGTGTATCATTACACCTTAATTATATTTATTGTAAGGAAGTGTTATTGTAAGGAAGTGTTTATGTTCTGTGTTGGTAGATATCAATACTAGAATTTTGAAGAAAGATTCAACATGTAGAAACAGAGTTTTATCATCTGAGAATTGTCTGGCAACACCAAAAAATATTCAGTGTTTCCACCTTACACTTCTGTGGTGGCTATACAAAGCCACTTGTAGAATACAAATGTTTTACACTCACCATGTATTTAAAGTAGTGAATGACAGAAGGAAAACTGGTAGTCTAGTACATTTTGATAAAGCTTCATAATAATTGTGAACTATCAACAACATGAAAGAATGACAAAACTAGAAGCTAACCCATAATTTTTATTTCAGTAGAGCTTGAATTTCTAGACTTTCAAAGAAGCCATATCACTTATGGGAAATTTTTGCCTGAATTTTCTTCAGTGTATTGAGAATGTTTAATCCAGCTCTTGTATGCTTGGTAAAGACGTAAGATGAAGATGATCTTTATCTTATAGAAGGTGATCTTTAACTAAGAATTCTTTTTGTTTTGTTTTAAATTCCAGATCCATCCGCTCCACCAGCTCCATCTAATATCAGAATTGCCAATATCAGTGCAAACAATGATGGGAGTGTAAATGTAATGATTACTTGGGATCTTCCCGAAGAGCCTGATATCCCAGTGCACCACTACAAAGTCTTCTGGAGCTGGACATATAGCAAATATGTAATCCCAGCTAAAAAAAAGAGAAGGAAGATTACCGATGGGGTAAGAAAGAAAATAGTAAATGAGACAGAGATATGGCTTATTTCTGGCACAAAATAGAGTGTAAGTGTAAAATATGTGATAAATAGCAATGATTTCAGCAGCTTGTAAAGTAGTGGTCTTAATTTTTAATATCACTAACCCCACAGACAATTTTGATCACTCAATCTCTGTCTTTCACTGAACTCAGGGAGAGAAGTAGACTTTGGCCTTAAAATGCAGGTAAATATTACAAGATTTTGCAGGAGAGATGCACAGAAAGTTAAATGCTGTTTGTCATGTAAATCCAGGCTTATTTTTGTAGTGCTTCTTAAAGATACAGTGCTAGTTTTATTTAAAAAGACTAACATCATCTGTAACATTGTTCTTTATGCAAATACAACTTGTGACACTATCATATAGAATAACTATTAAGTAGTCAGTATAGGTCCAAGGAAAAAGCAAACGCAAAACTTTTAAAATAAGCTGCTGTACCAAAGATCGGACATAATTCCATAGCAGCAAGTTCCTACAAGTTTCTTGAATGATGTATCAAATATTACTTTACTGGAGAATTATCTGTTGTGATATCCTCAAGTGTATTGCTTATTGCTTTAAAGTAGTTAATAGAAATACAAATCAGTTACAGATAACAGGCTGAACTTAATTCTCAGTGCTCTTAATAAATGCGTTATGAGAGTTTGGTCCCAATGTCTGTGTTAACACTGTGTTTTGGCTATGGCTGCCCACTTGCACTGTGAGGAATGACAGCCGGAGGGTTATAGTTCCCTCTTTGTCCCTCAGTCACCAAACCCTGGGAGAAATAAAGGCAATGAAGGCTGTGTGCTGAGTTCGTCTACAGTAGATTGGACACAGCAGGGGTGCCACCGTGGGAGCATGCTGGACCCATGCCTTCTCATGGGAACTGATGTGTGATTAGGGTCCAGAGGCTGCAGAGCCATCACCACCAGCTCTGTGCTTGGGCAGGCAGGAAAAAGAAATTTCCCTGCAAATGTAGACAATATGGAGGAATTTCAGGGGCTGAGATAACTTGGCTCTTTGTTTCTACTTCAGTTAAGTACTAAAAACAAAACAAACAAAAACAAAAGTAAATATGCATAGAAAAGAAAAGTAGCTCTTTCTTGTACTTTAAAAAAAAAATAACTTTGGTAAGATAGGAATAGAGATGGACCGTGCTAGGAAGAAAAGTTTGTGTTTCTCAGGAGAGCTGCCATTGGCTAGAGATCTTCATGGTGGAGGCTACAGCCTAAAGATGGAGGGGAGCTTTCTCTCCACAAGCTGGTCCTTAAATCACAAAACACAGGGAATTTTACAATAAAGTTGTGTCCTTAATGTGTTGGCACTTTGCATAGGGTACATCCTACATATAAATACATTAAAACAGATCCAATATACAACATTGCAGTAATCAGGACCAAGTTCTGACCTTGAATATAGGGAAATCCAAAAGACCAGAGGAATATTTTAGAGAAAAGACAGGCTCTTAGAAAATCTTTAATATTACTGCTGGCTCATTTTTCTTTTTCTTCTGCAGCATGTCATGAAACTGCATGGCAATGCCAGTGAGATTCAGACTACCTCCACAGGACACTCCTGAGGCTATCGCTAATCAATGGTCCCTTGAATATTATAGCAGCTCTACTGTCTAAAAATTGAAACTGCAGAAAACTTAAAAAATAAATAAAAGGTGTAAAAATCTTATTTTTTAAAGATCACTGAACATCTTTTTACACAGTTTTTACCTTTTGATGTAGTCCAGTCCAAATAATTTTGTACTGATTTCCATATGAAATCATTCCAGGTAGACATTCAAATAATTTGACTACAATATTAAGACTGTTAATTGACCTTTGTAGTCAATGTTATAAATATCTCAGCACAAAACAAGTGAAAGTAATTGATATGAAATGCTTTTGACAATCCCTGAAGTGTTAAATATTGCAGTATGTGGTTATCTTTTTCACTCTGGACTGACTGTCCAACTTCAGAAGCGCAAAGTATTCTAATGAAAACATGGAGTAATGTCTTCTGTCTGAGATATGAGCTAGAAGCTTTATCTTTTTTACAAAAAAATTAAAAATTTTAGAAATGTAAGAATACTGAGAAGCCTTGGCTCTTCTTTGCAATATTGTGGGACTTGAGTTAGTTATGGATTAATGATCAAAGAGTGATAATCCTACTCTGGTGTTTCCCCATTTAAGACACTTCCAAGACAATGAAAACTGTATTTTTCCTCTTCTGTTTTCCATTGTATAACAGAAAAGTTTTCTTATGAAAGAATGAGAGGGTATTTTTGGTCGTGATTTTTTTTTTTTATTTTCAACAGTTGAAAAAAAAATAGAAATTATTGACAAATGCACCGTATGTTGGATTTTAGAGGTCTTCAGACTGACAGTCTCTAGAAGAAGTTTTCAGTTACTTTGCTAGGACAAAAATTGGGAAATAAAAAGTTTACATTTCTTTGTCTAAAAAAATTTTGGCATAAGAAAAAAAACTTAGTTTTAACATAAACAATAGGTGTCTGTATTTGCCCAGTAATTGACAAAATTATGTAAACATCAAGAAGGTTAGTATTTTAAAATTGACACAGAAAAACAGGGTGCAATAAAATATATTTTTTAAAGAAAGGAAGTTTTGGTCTGTTGAAATTTATACATGAGTTTCCTAATTTCAAAAGAATAGTGTATCTAAGACAAGAGGCCTGTTTTTAGTAAGGTCCTGTGTTTTAATAATAATATAACTACTTTGTATATTTATTCTCCTCTATTATAGGCCCAAAATTACGTGGTCCTGGAGGGACTCCAGCCCAACAGCAACTACAATGTAGAACTGCAGGCAGTAACACGTTGGGGTCAGATACGCTTAAAAAGTGCTAAGGTTTCTCTTCATTTTAGCACAACTCAGGACACCAGGAATAATAGTGAGTAATTGTATTGAAACACCTGAATGCTTTATCTCTTCTTTATCTGAAATTTAAATGTTTTATACAATGATTTCTCAAATTAAAAAAAAATGATAATTTTCTTAAAGCTTTCTGTTTCATATATAGTGATCCTGTCTCAGTGAAGATGAGTAACCTTTTAATGTTACAATTTCTTATCTAAAAATTGGTGACAGTTTTTGCCTTATTCTTTATCTTAGATCCTATTCTCCAGAAATAAACAAATGCAATGAAAATGGAACCATTTGCATGACTGTGGTGTTAATATCTTTTAAACGCAATAGAGGGAGAAATATTTGCCAGTGGCTGTAATAAAACCATTTGTGTGTCTGTGTGAACTGGACAGTTTTAGCTTGCAGTACTTTTTAAAATCCTGACTATTTTTAGTAGCCCATTAGTTCAGATTCTTGCACCACACAGCTGTGTATCTACTATGAACTGAAATAAAACATCAGCTCTTCTGTTAGAGAATCTAAAATGTTCCATGCCTGACAAACAATGGATTCTCAATAAATTATTGAACATGTAGGACCCACATTCAAATTGGAATCTTGAGATCTTTAAGTGTCAGGTTATTTCTTGTTAGGGTGTTCAAAATCTCACATGCTAACTAATATAGTTGAAAAGCATATCTGAATCTGAGGATAAACCGTGATTTTTAGTCTTTCTTAAATGCTATTTGTAGAATTGCAATACAATACCAAGTTACTGCCCCAACTGCTGATGCGTCTCTGATTAACCAATACAGGAAAATTCTGATAAGATGTTAAAATAATATAATTTTCAATATCCTGTCCTGACTCCATTTCATTTTCCATCCGTTTACATTCCTTTTTTTACTTGACCTTACTTGTCAGCATTTTTATAATGTAACTGCAATTACTCTCACCCTAACTAATCAATTGCTGTTGTTGCTGGACCCTTCGGCAAGCATATTGGATTTGGATATACATAAAATAGTTGTTAGCTATGACAGATCTTCATATCTACAGTTGCCTTCCCTTTTTAATGTATCAAGAAGATAAAATACACCTAAAGATCCTTCTTTTTCCCATATTGATCTAATTTTTACTACCTTTTGGTCCATTTTAAGAGACAGCAGAGGGCCCAGTTTTCTTCTCTTCAACACTCTGAGTCTTTGCTTGAAATCCATACCAGGATATGAGTTTGAATCTCCACAGTGTGTACATAAGGCAAGTTTGGGTTAACTCCTCAGTGAAGCCCAGCATAAGTGAATGTCAGAGTTCTGCCCTGTCCATATGGGCTCTCTGAGATTGTACCTGTTCTTTCTGTCGTCCCCTAGAAAAGTGACCTAGTCAGCAGGATTGTGAATTATATTAAAAGTTTATTTGAGTTACTACATTTAGTTTTCCTTTATTTTCTACGTGTACACAGGAGATGTAATAGAAGAAAAACTACAGTGGGAACTGGGTGTTTAATTCCACTACACTCAGCCACTGAGCTCAACTAGAAGCATATCAGTGGTCTTTATGAGAGATGTTCTAATTTTGCTGAGTATTTTCCTAAGAATTGAAGTTGATTTTGCTCCCCACCCCGGCAAAGCACGTTTTGCTAGACAAACAAGTAAAAATGTCCCTTTTTTTTTTTGCTCCTTCCCCCCTGCCCTGGTCTTCTTGTCTCTTCCTATTAGAAGTTTCTGTGAAGTTTTGTATCTCAGTGCTAAACTTTCAGGTGTTTCTTTTTCAGTCCAGTCATCTTGACTGGCATTTCACCAGATTATGTCACAGCTCTGGGAAAGAACACGTAACTGAGTTTACTTTACATCAGGTCCCAGCAGAAGGCTCATGCCTGGATTTCTCCTGATTCTGAGGCTGATCTGTGTCCTTGTTACTGGGACAAAATTCTTAGTGCCCACGTACACACCAAGCCAAAGTGACATTGGACAAACTGTTGAAGTTCTTTCTCTCATTTTACTATGAAAATAGCTTAAGAAACTTTCCCCTCTTGGGAGCAGGGATAATTAATCAACTGATGTTTGTCCGGTCTTATTGCGAGTGCTAACATTAGGTCAGATCATCATAGTCTAACCTGATAGTAAATTCAGACTTTCTATATAACAAAAGCCCTGTAAACTGAAGCTGAGTAATTGAGATTGGACTGTGACATTTTTGGTACCATTCTATACTTGCTGTGAAAAACCTTTTTGCTGTAGTGCTGTATCAGCTCTCCTCCATGGTCTCACTAACCGTCTGTCTGTCGTGGCCTATGTCACAAACAGGCTTGTGTTGTAAGAGGAAGATTTTTGTTTCACTTTTCCCTCTCCAAAATACTGTATTTTTGAGAATCTGATGCAGCTCACATCTGATTTGTTACATACCAATCCTCTACGAAATGGAGTTCATTTACCCTATAACCTCATGCGTGACTTTGGTGGTTTCATCATTTTCTGTCCACTCCAGTAGCACCTCTTTCCTATCATCATCACAGATAGATTTAAATTCCTTCCACAATTTTGCTTGGATAATCTGCCCTTTCTTTGTTTTACTTCAGAAAACAGTCCATCAGTAGTTTCTGTGAAAGTCCACTATCTACTCTTGTCTAGTTAGTATAGACTTTCTAATGCCTTGTGCTTTATTTCACTTTACCATGGTGACCTATTTGCACTAAAAGGTTCATTAATGGTTCATTTTTTTTTATAAACCAGATTAATACTATACTAAGAGCATTTTTTTTGTTTTTTTCTTTTTATTTTTTGTTTTCTCATATACTTCAAGTATTTGACTGTTATGTTCAAGTTATGAACATCCATTTAGTTAATGAGCAGTATGTTCTTTTTAACTGCAAATCAGCACCTGGAAGAATTAAACTACATATTTGTTTTACAGTAGAGTACGTCAATAATAAGTTTACTGACAAATCTGAGCATCCTTTCTGTTAAAGGCATGAAGTAAAGGATTTAAGATTCTTTGAGCCTAAACCACTGATATCACACATTGTAGTGGATAGAGCACTCTGCTGACAAGTATATTTGGACCTTTTTGGAATTTTTTTAAAAATGGCGAAATTATAGGTTACATAGAAAAGCAAATAAAAACTACTCCTGTAGGAGATGCAAATTCATCTTCTGAATCTCATTGATCTTAGTTAGGTACAGAGCCAGTCCTGCTTGAGGTACTTTTGAGAATACTCAGAAGCAGATGGAGAAATATGAAAAAGAAAAAAAATATTGCCTGAACTATTATCTAGGACATGACATTCATGCCCCCTCTTTATCTGGGGACTTCCATGGCCTTTGGGAAGTAGTTCCAGAAGCAACACGCCAATTTTGCTGAAGTTCCACTGTAAGTTGCTCTGCTCTCTGTGGAATTAAGCTCTGGTTTTTTAGGTGTCTGTTCTTATTGTCAGAATAGGGAGTAGTCCATAACTCGCTGAAGTAATTTAGTCCTGCAGACCTCTGTGAGCTTTGACCCTGGCCCTCAGGCGTTATATTTCCCCACACTCAGAAATATGTTGCCTCACTATATTTGTATGCTTCACTTCTGGGAAATGCAGCAAGACTCTCTGTCTTGATCTTTATATAGAAATATTCTAAATTGGTGTCCTGGTTTTTATGGAAGTGGAGCAGACAGACAACAGCATAGCAGAGATTTAGTAAAATTAAAATACTTTGAGGTATACCTAATAGATTTAAGTTTATACTTCTTTCTATCAGTTTTTTGTTTCCTTTTAGGTGGTGTGAACATTATTATTACCTTGAGAAAGAATTTGCCTAAGTTCAGTAGTTTTACTTTAAAACAAGTGAAGAAAATGTAAAATTGTATGAGACTAAGCAAAGGGTTGTCAGAGTAAAATTTGGCCAAAAAGCAAGTGGGTTTCAGCAGAAGCTACATGTAGGGCACAGTGCTCAAGTTTACATGTTACTCATGGTAATTTTTGAAACCTGAGTCTTTCCCTCTTTCTCTCAAATATGTAGTTAATAACTTGCCACTTCCTACTTATTAGAATCTTTACTTTTCATTTAGGTGAATTGAATACGGCTTTTTTTTTGTTAATCTGATGCAAATACTGTCCTCTTAATCAGAACTGATATATTTGCAAGTGTGCAATGAAAATGCAGTTTGAATCAGCATTGCTGCCTTTTAAACTGAAAATACCTAGATATACTGTCAACCCTGGTAAATGTTGAACTGTTGCCAAGCGAAATGCTTTATGAAGGACGTCCTCTTATCATTGCTTGTTGGAAACTAGGCACGTAGCACCAAAAAAATTGCTCAAAGTTAATTCTTCTTTTACAATGTTTTCCTAAGCATTTTCTGTTCACTGTTGGAAAGAGGAAAGTGGGCAGGAGAGATCTTTCATCTGACCATAGTGTTCTTATATACCATACGAAAGGACAATATTTGCTTTGATGTAATAACCACATGTGGCATTCTGTGGGTCACACTCAATGCCATCCTTGGGTTTTGTGTACATTCAAACACAGCACAAATATAAAGACCATGAATTATTATAAAGAACTACTGCTAGATACTCTGCCTGTTTAAAAAGTCAATATATTAACATTTCTTGTTCTTGGGGGTATAAATATACTTCCTTTCCTTATTATTATCTTGAAAATTTACAGAGCATTTTCATATTAGAATATATTTATTTATCTTTTTCTCTCTCTGTCCATTTTTTTTTTTTTGACTGATTTTCAGACAAGTTATATGCTTTTCAACCGTTATGGACAGTCTTTTCTTTATAGTAATTTCATTTAAGTAGGATACTGAACTAAGATAATTTGGATTAAAAACAGTATTATTTTATGAATTTCAGCACTGTTAACATAGTCATTATACAGCACTGTACTTAAATTGTTGATTGTTCTGTGTATTTCAGAGGAACAGACATCTGCTGGGAAACCCCAGAAAGGACTGGTAGATCCTTACCCAACATTTCAAAGAAGAAAACCCACTCGTTTTCTTAAAATTGGAACTCCTTTCTATCAGGACAATCAACTTCAGGTCAAAGTCTACTGGAAGAAGACAGGTTTGTCAAATTTTTATTTTACTATTTTTTTCTAAAGTGATGCTCTCATCAACTGCCTCAGAGTTGTAGAACATTGATATAATATAATGAATCTGGTACAATCATTCAAAGTTAAATCCTACACCCGTCCTTTCTTCCCTTCACCTTTACATTAAAGTGAAATGTTGCCTCTTCTCTTTGTGTTATGGATGTGTAAATGTCTGGCAGAGGGAAATGACGCGAATCAGCTATCAAAAAATTAGTCAGTCCTGTTGGACACCATATCTTCCCAGAGCTGAGATAATTTGTAGTTTGGTGGAAATTGCTTTTGTAAAGTTTTAAATAGGGAAGCAGAATTTGGCCTTGTGTTCAACAGAGCTTTTGTGGATATCAATGTTGCCTCCCTGGAGTGTGGTTGGAGGGTCTCATGCACATACAGTTGCCGGGCGGATTTCTGCTGATGCCACTGTAGTATCACTTGGACTTTGTAAGTTGAGAAATGACTCTAGAAATGAATGTGTATGGAAGTCATGCAGTGGTATTGCAAAAACTAAACTGTAGTTTGAATCACAAAATTTAGAGTTATACTGGCTCATGTTAAGGCCACAATAGGATTTATGCCAAACTTTAGCAGTCACCTTGAATTAGAACAGGATGAATAGTTGGCCATAACCACTGGAAAAAATCTTTAAGTTGGTTTTCTGCGAGGCTGCATGCACTCTTCTGTCTTTTCCAAAAAATCTAACAACAATTTTATGTTTAAGTTTTCCAGTCTAAAGGAAAATGCCATAAATTTTAAGTGTCTCTGTGAGCAAGGTTCAGTTCTGAGCAGTTTGAACCAAAGAAATTGAGGGACAAGATTCAAAGATGAGGAGACTATGATGTCTCCCAGAGGTGTAAGGCTGGGTTGTGCAACTCAGTCTACAGGCAAGATTCAGCTCAGTGGAAAAATCAATCCAGCTGCAGCCCTTTTCCTACCAGCCTTTTTCCAGAAGAAAGATTATGTATTCTGTGACCAAAATGCCAATGCCCCTAGTGAAATTCACCTTACTCCAAATTCACTGTTTTAGTTAATGAAGTAAAAATAATGACCAGTACAGCAATATTAATCTTGTTCTAAAGTAGATATCTTGAATTAGGTGTCCACTAATGATAATGGTAACTTGGATATGGAGCTTATAAGTAGGTGTAGTAGATGTTACACCATAGTTACTTAAATGTTGACATCTAAATCTGGAGCTGAAACCCACACTGTGTTACATACCTGGAAGTAATATTTGTAGTAAAAGTTATAAGTGCCTATAAAAAAAAATAAGGTTGTTAACATTCTCATAGTTGCTGAGACAAGAGGTAATTAAGATTAAATGAAGTCAGGGAGTATTTTATAGTTTGGAAATAACAGTGTTTGGAAGTGGTGTAATCTCCACAACTGGCTATCTTCAAAGACAGATATGGCACAGATCTGTTTGAAATGACATGGATTTACATGCTGTCAACTTGTGCAGGGATGGGTCAGTTGAGTTCCTGAGTTGCTGACTGTACAGCTGGCTCATCTTGTGTGACTCTGTGTACATCCAGCTGTATAAGGGGGACACCCAGAGGTCCATTTTGGTCAGGTGGTGGGAGCAAGCTCTGTCACATGCACTAGGGTGTTCAGGTATATGCTCCAGCCATGCAGTGGAAGTTGCCTTCATTTTTCTCACATAATGAACAAGTGATAGCAAAGGTGTGTGAAGAAGGACAGAATATGGCAGTTTGCCACATTTTTCTTTCCTTTTTGAAAAAGGAAATATCTGTTTTCTGAGTGATAGCATATGCAGTAACTCAGCAGGAGCCATTGCTTCATGTGGAACTGAAATGCAGCCAGTTATCTGCTCCTGAGAAGCTAGCAGCTTATATAAACTCTTACAGAAGTTTGGAGGTTATGTAGTACATGGATGAAGTACTGACTGTAAATTTACTAGTGACAGTTTACTGCAGAGAAAGTCTTTTTCACCATGCACGGAACACAGCAGGAGAAGCATACTGACTGTGTGTTGTCTTTATGAAAGACAGAAGTTAATGGAGCCAGCTGCGTTGGGAACTGTGTCCACACGTCTTTCTCCTTTATGAACTGCACGGTCTCAGGTCATGTTTAGGGAGTTGCAGGAGGTATAAGAGTGCAGCAACTATAATAGGAAACACTGAGAGAGAATTTACCTCAGTCTACTCTACGGCTTAGTGTCTAGGGTGTTTTCATTGCAGACTGGCAATCGGTTCAAATCCTTCCTAACAGGAAGTTAACTCCTTCTCTTCTGTGTGGTGGCTGGAAAGAGGAGTCCCTGTTAATTTTTCTGCTGTTCTCATTATCTGTCGTTTGCTACTTAAAACAACATTTTTTTTGTCCCAGGACCACAGCTGTCCTATAGTCATAAATTAGGATGTGTGACTTTAAAACAAATAAGAAAATATCCTGAAACCATGTGAAATAAGTATATTGATAATGGTAAGAGTTCCATGACATAAAAATTATTCAAGAAATATGAGTTTCAAGCTTGAATATGTTGGACATTTGTAAATTAAGCAAAATTTCAATTGGTTGTAGCAATCTTTGCTTGTCTGGTCTGATTTTCAAGTTTTTTTATACTTTCTGTGGTGGATTTCATGGTCCTAAGAAGAGATGGTTGCAGTGGTGATGAAATAAATACGTTACTTAGATTTTTGATTTTTTTAAGATGAAGACATTTAAACCAGTATAATATGTTGATACAGAGTGTCTTTTAGCTGTAACAAAATCTTTAACAACTACTAAAACAGCAGTCTTTCACTCTCAGTAGAACTCTGAAATTAAATCAAGTTGTTCAGTCCTGTCTGTAAGGCCCGATGTTGTTATTGTTTTCTGAATGACAGGGAATTTGTCCTTTATAACTATCAGGCTGCAGAGGCCACCTAGCAGTTTATTGCAATGTACCTTAGCGTTTCCAGATTGTATGGTGATGTCTCTTAACATTCAAAGGGAGTTCTTCCGTTACTGTGAAGAATATGTATTCCTCAGTGCCTCCTTTGAGGTGTTTTCCTCCTTTGCAGATGTGCCTCTATGAAGCCAGTGAAAGATGACAATGATAACATGAGGGCTGAAGCTCTTGGTTTTACACCATCCCCCTCTGGATAGAATTCATCAGACCTCTGTCCTGTGCAGCAACTGCAATAGAGGGGATGTTACAAACTATTACTGATCTGGCTTTGTTATACAGTAAAGAACTGATTGCTTATCAGTACTCAGAAACTGAACACAGTATTTGAGTTAAAGTCTGAGTAAGTGGATGGAAGATCCTATTTGTGTATATATGCATCGTACTGTGTCACAGTTTGGTAGCAGGAAAGACTTATTTAGGCCTGTTCTTCAAGTGTCATTTCTTAAGTCCCATTAGCTTCAGTAAGCATGAGGTATGAATGGAATGGAGGATCTGGACTTTACATTAAAATAAATCTCTTTCTAAAATAATCTTTGAGTTAGAATGCTTCGGTATGATGGCAATAATAACTTTACTTTTGCTATCAAAAATAACTCCACACTTCAAGCAGTACGAGGTGCTTAGCAAATGCACATAATATTGCTAGACAGAGTCATCACAAAAGCACATTGTAATTATATTAATACAATAGCTTCTTTCTGAAAGAAGAAAACGTCTTTCACTTGCTGCCTCTGACTTAGGCCTGGGATTAGAGAAACACAGTACATTCCTTTAACAGCATGAATCCCACTTTTGTAAATGAAAATAAGAACTCGCTTGTGGCCAGATTTTTTTGGCCATCTCAACTGTGTGAAATTAGAAATTGTGTGATATTTATGTCAAATACTGGAATCGACTTAAACAAATCACTTTTTACTCCTTGGTGCTGGACTCATAGAGTACCATCCATTACCAAGAATGAGGCACTCTGAACCCCCTACTTAAAAGGATTAGCTACTTAGAATAATTAAGATCCTCAGTATCTTGTGCAGTAATCAAGACTGAAAGTGTGAAAATAAAAAGTTCCTTATATTTCCTCTGTTCTTCAGTGGTTTGTCAACTAGAGAGCTGAGGTTTTGGAATTCAGCTGGAAAGCCTTCAAGTTGATGCAAATTAGTGTATCTCCAGGGTATGAAAATTTATTTCCATAGACTGAATAAAAAAAAAAAATTCTTTATGAGCTCACTGTATCAATTCTCATAACTTGCTGCAATAATTATAATACATTAAAATATTAGAATGTAATTTAGTATGATGATTTCTTTCCAAAGCAACATGTCACAATAATGTTGTCCAGCCCACTACTCTGCCTTCACTACTGTTTTCTTAGTGCTTGTTATTTGAGTATAATGTTACTCTCCTTGCTCATGTGAAGCTTTAGTTTCCTTCACTTTTCTTTGAATGAAGTCTATGAGCATTTATGTCCGTGTTTAAATTAAACATTGAAAGTACTTCTAGATATTTAAAATCAATATATCTGCCCCTTGGTTTTGCTTAAAAAGACAAATATTTAAAATGCATTAAGACTTGGCTTCAGGCTTCTTCCTTTGTGTTTCCGGTAAATGCTAAAGCAGAAAAAAACCAAGAACACTTAAGGCGGGGAGAGGCAAAGAATCCTCCATTGTCTGATAAATCAACCAAACAAGAATAATGAATTAAATTACAGCGAAGAATAAAATGCAAAGCAAGGCAAAGCAAACAGATATCTGCCATGAATGCTTTTAAAACCAGATCTTAGGAAAACAAAATTAACTTTCACTTAGTTCAGGGAGATAAATGAAGTGACTGTATGTTATGACTCTTTGTTTGCAGTAAGGTATTTCATGTGGCAGGTTTTAAAATGATTGAAAGCTTTCCCCATGTTGTCCTATAGTCCTTTGCCACAAAACTAGTGCCATTGAAGCTAACAAAACCCTTCAATGCCAGTTGGAGATTCTTGCTGTTATTGTAAAGAATGTAACAGTAGTTGCTTAACACTAAGGAATTATTTAGTTTGGTATTAACTGTTGCACTAAGAAGATTGGTGTTTGAGCAGCTGCCCATTTTCTAATTATTGATATTTAAGCAGTAAAATGTTTGTACTTGAAGGTATCACTGTGGTCCAGATGGTTCTTTCAATAAGAAGACCTTGCTGTTAATTGTAGTGAAGTATACACCAATGTATTTCCCTCATATTTCTATGCGAATGCAGAGACATTGGCTCAGCAGAGACTGGTTGTGTGGGTTCACATAATGTGCATTCGTATTCTGATCCCAAGCACAGGGATCTTTGACTAGATCAACTCTCTAGAAATTCACCAGTAGACATTGCATAGTTTTCCTTTTCCACATGTGCTACATCTGACTAAGATGCCTGTATCCTATGGGCTTCCTCAGCATCCTGCCTGGGGAGGTAGGTAATGCTGTCAGCTTTAAATGTTGTGGGAAATTATTCCAGAGTTAAAAGAATATCCTGTCAGAAGTATCCTCTGTGTGATTACTAGTCCTCCCTAACTTTGTCTTACATAGGCCCAAGGTAGTTCCAGGAATAAAATTTTTGTTATCCCACTGTGGTTTTTTAAAACCTCTTTGTCTTTTTGCTGCCTAGAGAGACTGAAAAGGGGAGCATCTGACCATCTCCAGTTGTACTTTATAAACTGACTACGGGACTTGGACTATTTGGTTAGTGTCCAAATGTGACGTGCTAACAATCCTTAAAATGTTGGTGGTGGGAGTAATGAAGAACATCAACAAATGATACAATTTGGTAGAGCAGATAGTATCCAACTTCTCAAATAGTATGCAATTGATTAGTAGGACAAATAGTAAAGTTTTAAAATCACATTTGGAACAGGGGCAACCACAGTGGCATCACCCTTGTAAATGGTACAATGCTGAGGAGTCTTTTCAAGGGTACAGTTTACTGCATTTCTTCATGTTTCCACAAGAACAACAGAAAACCATTACTGAGTGCTTTTCACTTGCTTCCAGACCTCCGTACCTTTCAGGGTAGGTGGTTAGAGCTCTTGGAATTAGACACTTAATGGCAAGTCTATCCAATGATTAGCCCCAGGAAGATAGTTGGAACAGATTCAAAGTCTGCAGGGAAATCAAGTATCAGAAGCCAAATCAGAACTACCTGCTGAGGTCCCAGAGTTCAGACAGCATAAAAGACCGATTTTGCTTAGCAGGCATCAGCTATCTGCTGAAGGCCTATTGTGGCTGTACTGGACTGGTTTGCTCCAGAACATTCGTTCAACTAGTTCTAACACTTTATATGGTTGATCCACTTATTCTTTCATTTTAAAATTTACATTGTGTATGCTGTTTGCAAGCCCTCAGTGTGTCCTGAAGCATACTCCAGAACACCCTTAATAATTGTGAAAGTCTATTTAATTTAACTTAATTTATGCATTTAAAAGAAGTCTTCTTTTTATTCTTAGACTTAATAACTAAATTCAAATTTAAGCTTGATTTCTTTTGAACTTGCATTAAAAGATCAAACAGAAATGTAATTGCAAATTACCTGGTCCATGAGTGCAGTCCAAAGATAGACCATCATTACGTGGGATGAGTACCTGCAGTCAGACTGCAATATTGCATTGTGAAATAATTTATCAAGTCTTAACTCACTTCAAGTCATTGAAAAGATTAACTGGCCAACTCATAAATAAACCCTTACCTGAGTTTTAATTCTTCAGGAAAAAATGTTTTCAAAAACAGCATCTTCAATAACATGTCTACCCACTACACTGTTTTCTACATTTCTTATTACTTCTTGAATATTACCACAACCTATAAAGTTATTTATTTTAACAACAAATGGAGAAATTCTTATATGTGCATATATATCTATATAGTGTCACTGGGATGGTCAATGGCAATGTCTATTTTTAGGCAGTCTGAATAACTGAGGGATAAAATGGCAAGCTTTTTGCCATCCAATTCTTCCCCTCCTTTCCTCAAACTGTATCACATTCAGTCAAAGCTTTGTCTTATGCACTTACACTGTCATACCTGGAGCAATCCTACTGTTTCTAGTGTGAGTGAAAAGATACTGAAGTACTGCAGTTTAGCAAGATACCTTTCATCAGCTATGGGGTAGTAACTGGTCATGAGAGCTCTCTTAGCCTGCCTAAGTTATGAAGTAAAATATTTAGCTTGTGATCCAGGGAAGGTTAAACTATCATCAGTGAGTCACCATGCTCACGGTGAAGGTGGTTTAAACTAACAAGTGTCTTGTAAATTGAGTCGATTTTCCTCCATGTGCCTCTTTTTAACCTCTGTTGTTTAACTTGCCTAGTTTATAAGTGGCCATAAAACCATTTGCATAAACACTACAGACAGGGACTATTTGAGTAAGTAGCTAGAGTTGGAGGGAAAGACACCAAAAAAGGGTATCTGACACTGAAGTTATAATCTAAATGTAAAGATGTATGCAGCTGATGAATAATGAGTTCTTAAACACCAGTAGCTTTCACTCCTGTGACCATAAACTGAATACAAAAATATCCATAGCAGTCTAGACCAAAGATCCATCCAACCAGGTATTCTCTTCTTCTCAGTGTCCAAAAGCAAAGCCAAAGGAACATATGAATAAGGCAAGCGTGTGATGATACTTCTGCAGATTATTGTCCCAGCTTCAGACAACTTCTAATTCATGGGATTTCCTGAGACCAATGTGATTTCATTGTATACGTTCACTTCTGATGCATTTCTCTTCCATGATAATATCTAGTGTCCCATTAGGGTCACATAAATTTTTGGGCATCTGAAATGTCCTGGGTTATGGGGTTCCAGGCTTTTAAGTGCTTGTTCTGTGAAGAAGCACAGTTTTTAATTTCTTTTTAAGCCTCTTCTTCTAGTTTAATTTGAATACTAATTCTTACATTGGAGACACAGAAGACAGCCAAACTCTGCTCACCCTGTCTGTACACACATGAATTTACAGATATTTAACCTGGTTTTGCTCTGTTCTTTTTCTCGTAGACTCAGTAGTCTTAAATGGCAGATTTAGAAACTGCATATTAATGCCATTAATTTTATGAATAACAGTTCAGCAAAGCAACATCCTGATACAGCATGACATGATGCACACCATGAAAGTCCAGTTTTGGAACTTGGTGCAGCATTGTACATGTGTGCAAACCCACCCGTACAGTTTTTGCATAGGGTATGAGAGAGAAAGGAGTAGCAGGTGCATCTCTGCATCTCCTTCCACTGTGGAGTTAGGGGTGTGCTGGGTCTGTGCCTTGATGCTGGAATTGGGAAGGACTCCTGGATTGCCTACCCTCAGTATCGCCTCCCCACCTAAATTAAAGTCCAGATTTGTCAAAGTTACACGGAAGGCTAAAGTTAATGATAGAGTACCTAGTGACATTTTCAGTAGATGTATAGCCATAGCGAGCCTTGGACTTGTTTATTTAGGTTGTTTTCATTTTAATTAAATTTGGTTTTTGGATGCTTAGATACCTTTGAAAATCTGGCTATGAGGGAGTAGCATAGGAAGCTTCTGTTCAGGCTACAAGCAGCTATTGTGGGACTTGGAGCTTACAAGAGGCAAATTCCCTTGTAATAGAAAACCAGAATGAGATACTGCTGAACTCACTTTGTGTAGGATGTTGTGTGTGGGAAAAGGAGTGAGGATAGAGGTAATCCGGTTTAGAGATGAACCCAGACTTAAATCCCCTAGTATAAACACCTTTAAACTTTGAGGCTTCCTGGGTCTCGATACAGACGCAAATACTTTGGCTCAGGCCTGTCTTTAAATTACAGACTAATTGTTAATATCAGTTTTGGAAAGGCTTATCATTGTATTATGCAAAGAATGTGTCCTATAGAATCAAAGTTTGTTTTAAATGGCATAATCTGAGAAACAAAATCTTTGTGATTTAAACAATACTGCTTATATTCCATGTAAGAGCAGGAAATAGTATAGTTTGCGTTGTTAAGAAGTGTTTATTGAATGAAGTTTAAATGTCAGCTGAGGGTTTTGGTGTTTATTTTAGTCATACTACTTGAATAAGTGATTATTAAAAAGTTCTTTTTCTCAGAGGTGTCATGAATACCATGAATTTCATAACCAAACATTTGACATTTTGGAGTTTTTTTTCTTTTTTTATACCACTGGGTGAATCAATGCACAGGCAGCTGAAGAACACGAGCTGTTTTAATGTCATTTTTTAAAGAGAATCTACTTAAAATGCCTGAGACAGAACACATCAACAACATAGTTTTTACAGGGGAAAGATGAGTGCAGAGAGGCTCGCAGTGCATTAGCGCATCAGTGCAGCATTTTATCATTAGTTGAAGGTAAATTGTGTTTACCTATGTATTCTAAGACTGATAACTCACTTGGCATTTACTAAACTATGAGAAGAAAGATAATGCATGTTATTCTATCTTTAATTTTTGTCCTATCATTAGCTTCGGATTTCAAATGTTGTCAAGAAATGTCATGATTCAGAGAGGTAAAGAATGGCTCATGAACCAATATGTGAAGAAATAAGTGTTATGGTTAAGTACTGACTGAGATTGTTTTACTTCTCTACAGTATGCTAAAGTATTCTTTTTCAAATTATTCTTCAGTCATGCTGTCATTACAATGCAATAAATATCACGTGGATCACTTTGTACTAATCGTGTCTCAAAACTGAAGCAACTAGTAGCAAATTACTCTGCTTCTTTTATTCCCTTGGGTTTTGCCCATATTTAAGCCTTCTCTGCATGTTTTTCAGGACCTCTCCAGCAACTGAGTTTTAGGAGAAAAAGTGTTTATGGAAACTCTGTGTTTATTGTAGAACTCTGTGTTGACATGGAGAAAAATGGTGACCTGATAAACAGACGAACACAAGCCTGAGATAGAAGAAGACACTTCATTATATTCTTCCTCAGCTATTTACATAGTAGTTCTTGGTGTGGAAATACAGGCAGGTTAGGCAGCAGAGCAAACACTGCTGCTCATCCTCCTGCCAGAATGGTGGGCTGGAAGCAGTGCTGTGTGGTGTTAGATCCACAGTTTTAAAGGTGTGTCAGGGGTTGCATACTGGGCAAAGATCGGGCAGGAACATTTCTTCAGGAAGCCTTTGACTTGTACATATGTCTTTGGGCACTTCAGAGATGATAAAAATGTTTTTCCCTGTGCAAGGCATCATAAATTTCACCATTTACCATTGTTACTTTTACATTCACCATAGCACAGCCTCACCGTTCAATGCAATGAGAGAAATAATTTTTGTCCTGAATTTGGACAAAATGGTGTGTTGTTTGACACAGGATTTATACAGAGCTCCCCAAAATCATACTACAATTTTGCTGTAGAAACAGTTAGTCAAGCTTGTAGATACTGAGGCATGGACTTCAGGTGCCCTGAGCAGATTCTGCTTTGTGCTGTGATATTAAATATAAAATCTTTACCCCTTGCTATAGCCTATTTTTAGAACGATAGTGCTGCAAGACACATGAGAAACTGCTTAATTTTCCTGTATTTCCTTCTTCCTATTAGTCTAAGACAATCAAAGACATGTTCAAGACCGTCTTTTAACTGCAGTTTGTATGGTCATTAGTGTCTTGATCCTGGTGGGTACTACACTTTCTGGCCTGATCCATTAGCTACTCTTAACTGTTGAAGTCAACATGACTGTTCATATGCTTAAGTGCTTTGTTGAATCAGGGCCAGAGTGCTCAGAAGCTTGTAAGATCAGCCCCACAGTATAAGAAGAAAAACAAAAAACCCTGTGGCCAGTCACAAATAATCATTGCAGTTTGCTTTATGAAATATCAGATTTAACATTATATATTAAATCCAAAGACTTAGTCACATGCAGAACAAATTCTTTCAGTAATTTTCTTATGAGTAGCGTATTTCAGTCTCTTTATGGCATTCTGTTTGAAGAAAGGCTAGGCTTGAATGAAGACAGCAGGTTTACATATGGCTAATGATCTTCGAAACTTTGATAACTCCTTTTGGCATACAGTTGGCATATTAATTATATGTGTATATTTTGGAGGGAGTAAGCTTGCTGAGGTAACTTGGCAAAAAGTACAGAATATAATTTCCTTCCTATCATTTACTCATTTGACATATGCTTGTTATTTATATTAAATTGATGATTATATTTATATTAATACTTTTATGCTGCCAGGTAAAGGTTTTCATAAGTATGTCTTATTTTATAATCTTCACTTTTTACCATATTTAATTCTAATGGGAAAATCTTTCAGGTGCTGCTTGTTAATTACTTCACATTCTGTCACAATACAGAAATCAGCTTGATGTTATTGTGTTTGTTGATTCCAATTATAATTAAACCTTAATTTGAGCTGCTGTTGTTGAACATGTCTGCTCTGAAATCTTGTTTTCCAGCAAATCCCATTTGATTTTTCTTTCTAATAATTTGTTGTAATTTGGTTGCCTGCATAATAGTGCTGTCACAGCTGGCGTTAATCGCCATTTTTATATCAAATTGTAGAGACACATGGTCCAAAAACCACCCATCAAACAGAATAATATACAACTTGAGAGCTGAAATACTTTTACAGCAGAGACCATTATCATTATCACCACTTGACAGGGGTGGAGCAAAGGTAAGGAGCCATAAAGTGCTTTGCCTAAAAACCTCCAACAAACCAGTGGCAGAACTAGCCGCAGTTCCCAAAACAGTCTGCTGAAAATTTCTTGCTGTGTGTCACAGTAATACAAAGAAATACATACCTCTTAAATCTGTTTATCTCGTCTCCTGAAGTGATAGTGTGTTGTTGCCATATTGGTGGCATTGGGTTGTGTGGACAAGCTTCACTGTGGTTCCTGCCCATTCTATGACAGTTTTCTAGCTCCAAAGCAGACCTCAGTTTCTCATGATTGTCAAGTTGGCACCTTTCTGCAACAATAAATGTAATATAAAGCAGAAAAAAGTATTTGAGGCAAAGAAAGGAGCTGTCTGCAGTAACATGGTAGAAAAAAAGAAACCACATTAGATTAAGTGATTCACATGGCTGGCAGTAATAGAAAAGTATAGCAGAACAGAAATGTGGAAAATGTTGGCAAAGATGAGGAAAAGAGATTACTTTTTTATTTAGTGTATTTTCAATAAACTATAGAACTATTTAAACCAGAAATTTCAGCTAGGAAAAGTTGCAGTTACCTGGCATTGTGCTGCGTGATTTTTTTTTCCAAATGGCTCTCAAGCTTCAAATTCAGTGTGAAGGTGATGAGATTTAGCAAATGTAGAAGTAGGCCAGGGTATTCCTATAACTCATTGTGCAGCCATTACTTAGGATATGTTTCAGTACTTTAAGCAGACCTTTTCATTCTAAGATGCTTAAATTGTGCATATGAACCTGAACTTTTCAAAGTGGCAAACAAATGTATTTGTCATTGACATTAATGGGATTTTGAGCTGCTTTTACAACTTAAAGCTACAGAATAAAAGTGTATTTCTCTCCCCCCCCCAAAAAAAAAAAATAAATCTGAAATATATTTCTTTAATTGAAATGGAACTCAAAAGTTTAGGTTGGGAAGGGGGAGAAAGAAGATAAAGCTGACTAAGAACATCTTCATAAACATAATTGATAGAGAGTTAGCTTTGTGGAGGTACACATGTGGAGTTAATGACTTTTTTGGGTGAAACACAGGAGGGAGAGAATCAAAACAGACATCTTTTCAATGTGCTTTAGAGCATCCCCTGATCAATACATTTCTAATTAGAAATTTAAGATTTCTGTCCAGCAAGGTTGGCCGCATACCCTTGTTTAATAAAACAGCTAAAGATATGTGGAATTTTAAGAGCATGCTCATGTGTTGTCTGTATAGGAATGTTTTCTTAAGGCTAGGAACTAATTTTATACTTCAGAAAATTTACTTTAGAAGTCATAGCCAAAATAATTACTGTCAGCTATTAGTTTATTTGGGAGGAGTAGTTTTGTGTAACTGTCTGAAACATCAAGAAATCATTAGCTTGAGCAGCTGAAGGTCATGTCCAGGATAGTAACTTTACAGGGATTTTTAAAGTAATTTTTCTGGTTTGCTTTTTTTATTATTTATTTATGTTTAAATAAGCTTGATAATAGAAGTAATTGTTTGAATAAGCTGTCTGCTGTAACAGTTCTTTAAGGGGTTCTTACTTAAATGATTGTTATGTTGACTGATTTCACAAGCTTAGAGCTGCTCGGGTGAGTGCTAACTCTTAGTATGTCCTTCAAGTTCAGTGTTTCTATACAAATATTTTGACTTCTGGGAAAGATGAATGCTTGCTGTTTGTGCAAGCATCAGTCTTTTTAGTGTTAAATGGTATGCTTTCTAACTGTGAGAACAATGAAGTTATAAAGCTTTATAAGGACCAATTCAAAGTACAGAATCAAGAAAACTCCAAACTATTAAGAAGGAGATTGATTATATACAAAAAAGGCCTTATAATGCGACATCTGAAATATCAGGGAACCAGACTGAAGGAGTCTGGCAGTTTCTTTTCAGTGTTATGTACCTGTTCTAGAAGGGATAGCAGAGCTTGCTGATAAAACTGGCCATAACCAGTCCCATTAGGTACTGGATATTCTGTTAATATTAACTACTCAAATGACATTTCAGAAAAAGTTGTGGCTGTAGGTTACATTTTATTAACTTCAGCTGGGCTTAATTCAGAACCATTAGCCTTGGTGGTAGTGGCTGACATTCAGCTGGGCTGCAGCTTGGATAGCTTGTCCGGTACCTACCACTGAGTTTGTAATGGATGGCTGAAAACAAAAATCTAAATAAAGTTATAGTAGTGTATATAGTAGTGTATAGGAGAGTGTATATTGCTGAAAGGAAGGCTGGGAGAAGCTTTTCTTTTGTATGTGCTGTAAACACAAAATCAGATGTATAATGTTGCATAAAAAAAAAACAACTCTGGAGCCATGAGCTTTATGAGCAACTTTATAAAATAAAGGAGTATTTTATTTTTTTTTAAGACTCTTATGTGTCTTTTTAGATAATTCCATATATCTTGTCTCCTTTTGCTTTTACAAAATTTAAAGATAATTTCTAAAACAGTCTTGTTATTTAATATGCATACTTCATACATGCACATACGCTTTGAGTTTTTCATGCTTCTAGCTTTATTTGATCACAAATTGTCCCACTTTTCTCTATTTTTAAAAAAGTTTCTATCTCAGGTAGGAGCTAATTCCCTATTATGTTTCATTTTTGCTACCCAAATTACTTGGGCTTTAGACCCTGACAGGATAGACTTTTTAAAAGGAAAAAATTGTTTTTATTGTTGTCCATTGTAAATATATATATTTACATATTTATATGTTCAAATCTTTTCAGTAACAGCAATGACAAAAGTGGAGATCAGAACTGAACAAGTTTTAGTCTTGAAAATAAAAGCTTAGGGAAGTCAAAAAGGCTTGTTCTATTGAAAAGTTTTGGAATACCTTAGCTGGTGCTGTCCTGATGCATTCCAGCTTATAGCAGTTGATGTACTTTTATATGTATGTGTGCAAAAACCTTATTGAAATAACACTAATTACATACCCACTGAAAAGAAAGAAAATCCTGTCTTTTCAATATAGGTTGTTGTCAGAATAACAGATGCAAGCACTATCAATTATAAGATTCATTTGTTGATTTTGATTAAACAAAAAAATATGAAATTATGTTTATTAAAAACCTTCATCCTACATTTACAGTCCAAGTTGATAGGAAGTGAAATAATTTTTTTAAACCTCTTCCTGATTTTCTAGCTCAAATAGAGAGGTTATCAGAAACCACAGCTGTTTACGAAAGGGTTACTAAGGGTTTGCTAATGCAGGAGAGAAGTAGGAAGAAAAGAACTGCCTGAGAGCAGAAGCTCACATAAGGAATGAAGATAGAGCTGCAGTAAAATCTAACAGAATTCTACAGTGCCAGGAGCTGGAAATACCAAATGTCTTGTGTTGCAGCCTGTTTAACTACAATTATGAACAGAGGCTTAGTAATCTCCTATACTGATATCTCTGGATGCTGAGTTGTTGTAAGCTCTTGATGCTTGGGATTTATCTTTTCCAAGTTGCTCATGTAATGATATTCAGTGACCTACCTGATGTATGTGTCTGATCCCATTCTTGATGGCTGGATAATGGCAAGGCTTAACTGGCCTTACAAACAGCAGTCCACCTTACATGCAGATAATTTAAAATAATAAGTTGTGATTATAAGGTAATATACAGTCAATAAGAGATTCACTGTGGTCAATTGGCACAGAGTGTGCATTGTTAATGTAACATGATTAATATGGCAGCACAAAGTTTTCAGGTCCCAAGAAGCTAGGTGTTTTGTTTGTTAGTCCCAGGAGAGGGGTACAAGCAGGTGATAGACAATAATTGAGTAAACTGGAAGAGACAGAGGAATCCTACTTACAAATGCACTGTGAGTTTGTGTCTTCATCCAATAGATAGGCTCATCAAGTGGGAAAGCCCAGCAACTAAGAGGCAAGTGAAAGCACATCCATTTCTTTCTTAATTTTTAAATGAGGGAGAATGATCACAAGGCAGCAAATTATTTCTGTATAGATTTCTTTTTGAAAGAAAAAAAAAGTTTGGTTTATAAAGAAATCATACAAATAGTTAGCATGTATGTTGCTATGAAGATAGCTGCTGCAAAAATCTCTTTCAAGGAGCTTCTAATCAGTCTTTTTACCAGAATACCATGTGAGATAGTTTCAGACACAATTTTTCTCTTTAGTTTACAATCCTTCCCTTCTGCATTCAAATTGCTCTACAGCAGTCTGATGCCAGATCAGCCCTTAAGGCATCAAAGATATTTGTTTTCTCTCCTGAAACTCACAGTCAGGTGCTTGGCATTAGTGTCTATCTCATACCCAGATAATTAATAGCAACAGACGTAATTTTCCATCCTCTGTGTAGAGATAGAGGAGAACTAAATCCAGAAAAATGACAGGATGTATGTGCACTGCCTGATGAGTTTTTCTTTTTTTGTCTAATTCTTTATTCCCCTTTGTTTTGCGTCCTTATGCAGACAGTATTAGACAAGAAGCTAGAAGAGAAGGGAATTGGTTGAAAGCTTCTACTGTTGATGCTGTGGCAAGATTTGCCATTGATTTAAATGGGAGCAAACTCAAGCCTTTTGTATGACTCCTAGGAGTCAAGACTAGAATTTTATTTGGACAGATGCTGAACAGGTCATATGATATATTCTGAAAAGACAAAGCTGAGAGCTTTACAGACATTTTCACATATTCAGGCGCAGATTTCTTAAGCACTGCCAGGTAGAAGTATTACAATGCTCTGACAATATAAACAGTCACGGGCAGTTGACACAAAGTCATTGCTATCATTTGCAGGATGTTTAGAAATAGCAGCGAGATTTTTTTTTTTTAATGTTCAATTTAGATGCTTTACTTTTTCAAAAATGTAAACAATATATGCTTACATATCTGAAAATCCCAATTCACTGTTTTTAAAATTATGTCTGTTAGCTGCTATAAGGTTTAAATTAAGTAAGAGTGTAATATTTTCTCCATTCTATTGAGGGATTCTTAGGAACAAGTGAGAAACTACCAGCTCTACAATACTTAAAATTCCTCCTATTTTTATCCAGGGAAGCCAGAAAGGTTGCAACGGTGAAAGCATAATTATAATATGTCTTTTCCTCTCTTTTTATATCATTTAGATATCAGCAGGAACAAGTCCACTGGTTACTGGAGTCCTGTGCACACAATGACACCAAAGGACTTGGGAAAGTAACCGAGCTGACTTATGTAAGTCTCCATTCAGCCTTCTGCTTGACTCTGAATAGCTTCTAAGCAGCAAGAGAAAGGATGGTTCTATAACATAACACAGTATGCTTTATACCATGTTTCACAGATAAGTAAGGACGTTTCTTTGTAATGTTCCTCTTGAGCAAAAGAGAAAAATGGTGCATCTGGATTGCTCTGAGGTTTGGTTTTGTTTTGATTTGTTTTGTTTTTAATCTACACTAGGCTGACATAATTTTTTTTCTTGGTGTTACTCAGAAAACAAGAGCAGGCAAACAAACTTCTTAGCTAAGTACTTATGGATTTCTACAGAATATAGAATGTGGAGCTTTATCTATAATCAGTACTGTAGGACTCTAGCACAGTGCAAATACTAAACAGTAACAGTAGGAATTAATAAACTAGGTTTCTTTTAGACATGCAGGTGGGTTTTACAACCCTGAGGAGAATAATAGAATAAGAAAAAAGGACCTTAGGTGAAAAATACTAGACATTAAATGTGGAAGTTGGACAAATATCAGATAGGGAGAAAAGCTCTATGTGAGTACATGTCAGCACAAACATATATTGCAGGGGCAGTTCTTTGTGCTCCATTTGATGGCAATCTAGTGTCATCTGTCTCTGTAACACGTTATTTGAACAACACAGTAATGTGATTGGTGCATCACGATTGATTTAGTGGGTTATGGAGACTGGAAAAAAATCACAATTCACCTTTCCTTCTTACCCTGACCTGTACTACTGGATCAATTTAGTGGAGTTAATGGCATGTAAAAGTAGAGTAAATCAAAAGGCATCGTTTCCTATACAGAGGTCTGATAGCTTGTAAGATTTACTGCTTCATGGGGTCAGGAAAACAAATATTAAAGGTGGATTAAAAAAAATTATTGTGGCATAATGTTAAGATCAGTGAAAATATTTCAAGTTGTGCACATTGAAGACAGGAGGATGTTGACATTTAAGAAGTTTATTTCCACTAGAGGTCAGAAAAGACTCTTTATACATCTGCCCAAATGTATTGTGGGATTTGTTCAGTTATTTCCTCTCAGTCGACCGTACGGTAATTGGTCCAATCTGTTTTGGGAAACTGTTTCTTTTGAGGAAGAAACTAATTACAAGCAAACAGCAGAAGGTTGATGCTGCAAAAGGTTTGATATTGGATATGATAGGTCAAGGTGGATAAAGGCCTTATGTTTCCTGTGCTGATCATTTAGGCCCTGTCACAATAAATGAAAATAGTCCTGTCACAATTTTAAGCAGGAGTCAAGCCTATGAGAGCACTCACCCAGCAGGTGGAAGGTGGGGAGTCGAGTCCATTATCAGCCCAATCTCTATGTCCTGTTGAAAATGACCTTCAAAGTAAAGGCTAGACTTATCAAGTTTGGGATTAGAAAAAAGATGGAGTTTTGCAGAAGAACAATGGTAAATAGTGATTCTGAAGGGAAGTAAGGACAAAAAGCCAGTGAAAGACTTTTGACCTTAGCCAGTGAGGTATTACTGGACATCTTCCCAGATGAACCAACAAAAAACCAAAAACAAAACCAATTTTTTTTTCTTATGTATGTTTTGTGCTAAAGCTTTCAGGCTGTGATTTCAGAAGTACTTCAGACAACAGTAAGAATTTAGCAGGACACATTTTGTCTAAATTAATTGTCTTTAAAGAGAAACTTGTGCTTTGCAGTTCAGTTGTGGAGCTTTTCTTCCTGTTAAGAAGGTAGAAACAGTTAATGTACTAAAACAGAAAAAAAATGGATCCATAATGGAAGCTGGACTTTGAACCCTTTTTCAAAAAGTTAAACGTAGATGGCACCTATCATTTGCAGCAGCTTAACTCAGCTTCCTTACATTTATTTAATTCACTAAGCATTTACATCCTCACATTGCTACCCCTGTTGCCATTATGACAGAGAGACTGCTCTAAATGTTAGAAGCCAGTTGCTTTGATGCGACGTGGCAAAGGAACTCTGTAGAACTGAAGGACATATCCAAATACCATGCTAATATATTTTGCTACTGAAAATAATCGTAACATGGGCAATATTTGCTTTATTCTCTGAGTAAAAGCCATGTTAGTGTGTGTTAAATGTATCAGGAAATTATTTTATTGGACAAAACTTTTCATCTTCTGCCAATCTTATTTTCCATTTCTTTTTCTAGAGGTCTATTTGCACCATGTGATCTTTCCATTTTTCTTCTAGGAAAACTACATGATTCTGAAGGACCTGTCATTTTCATGCAAATATAAAGTAACTGTTTTGCCTGCAAAATCTAAAGGTCATTTTAAAGCTGAGAGTGTTTTCTTTGTTACCCCACTTTGCTCTGCATTTAAAGAAAAAAACCACAAGCAAGTCCGGCTGAAGGAGGTAAGGCATGATGTGGAGAAGTAGCCAAATAGTTTCAAATGCATTTATAATCACAAAGAAAAAGTCTTTAAAAGCAATTCTAAAATGCGAAATGAAAGGTTCAGAACAAATAAAAATATGACTAATGCTTATGTGAAAAATCAACTAAAATACAGAGCAGTATAGATTTTGGCTAACATTATTTTTTGTCAATTAGGTGATCATTTTAGTGGACTGTTTATAAACATATAATGACATTTGTTATTACACAGTTTTTATTCTTGTAAGGAGGAATAGTTTCCCAGTTATATTCAGATATATATTGAGATGGCAGATTATAACTGTAAACATAATTTTGCTGGCATGACCCATCTTTTGAATGTTTTGCTACTGATTCAAGCTGCTTTTTCAGTTTTATTTTGTTTAGGTTAATTCTGCTCTCAAATAACAAATAAAGGCACTCATGCTTTTTACAATGTTCCCATGATGGTGGGTATAGCAAGAGGGTTATGGAAAACTGCAGAATCATGGAGATGCTGTTTGATAAGGACCTCTGGGGTCAGCTCGTCCAGCTGCCCACCTGAAGCAGGGCTGTTGTCAGCGCTGGGTCAGGTCAGCCGTGGCTTTGCACAGCCCCGTCTGGAAACCTCTCTCTTCAGAGGCTGACTCTCTCTCTTTGAGTCCCTACTGTCCCCAGCGGTACTTCTGTGCTTTGTGGGTCACCTCAGCGTCCTGCTGACCTCCATTGCCATTTCCTGACTTCCCACTCCTGACAGTTCCCAGAGTTGCAACCTTATTCCTGAGCAACTGCAACTCAGGCATATGTTTCCTTCCCCTAATCAGAATGCCCCTATTAACTTGTACTACAGGTTTAGAGCATAAATTTTACTTTCTTTCCTGCATCGTGGAGTTCTGTGCTATCATGTGGGTTTTCTTCTGTTCCCAGAATGCAAGACCAGAGCTCAGGTATTCTGAAATACAGAGGAGCAGCAGGATGGTTGCTTGTGAATGAGGCATTTATGCCTTTACATGCCATAGGCTTTCCTTTCTGTTGCCTGCAGCTGACAGGATTTAATTTGAAGTTTAAATTTGGCACAGAATGCTGATGCAATATATCAAAGCTAGGCTTTGGTTAGCACTGAAAATGTGATTGCAGAAAGCTGGCAGGATCCTGGGTAACACCAGAAAGAGCCTTCTGTCTGACCTTGATTTGTGTAATTAAATGATTTGTGTAACTAAATGAACTTTATTGATCATTGTCTCTCAAAGTTTAGCTTATCTTTTTGCTTTCCGAATTTATAGTGCCAGCTCTACAGAAAGTGTTGGCCAAACCCGAGAATCTATCTGCGTCTTTCATTGTCCAGGAAGGTAACATCACTGGTCATTTTTCCTGGAAGATATCTAAGGCAGACCTTCACCAGCCCATGACAGGGTTTCAAGTCACTTGGGCAGAAGTAACCACAGAAAGCCGGCAGAACAGCTTACCCAACAGCATCATTTCGCAGTCACAGATCCTGCCAGCAGTAAGTTGTTACTTTCCTTTGCTAGTGGCTTCGTAAATGTGTGTGCATGTGGCCTATTTTTAATATTTAGCGGTGGTGCAGATGTCACACATAGTGTTCTCTGGCTCTGCGGGCAAGTTGGAGAAGGAAATGGTTAATCTTTTCTCCTTGCTGGAGAAGCAAAGCGTAGTCATTCTTCTTGATGACACATCAAACATTCTAATGTTCACAATTGTCAAATTATCAACCATTGTCTGAGAAATGCCTGAAGGGAGGAAAAGATCATTTTTGTGACAATAGTTTTTATTTTCTTTTGATGATCAGGCTGTTCAACTTGGCAGTTACTATAGTTTTACTAATTATTTAGTGTCCAAGTTGATGGATTTAATTGAATTTTCTCTTCCTTTGAGTCACTCATTGCTCTAAGAGAAATAAAAATCACTTTCACCTCTGCCCACATGCACCATTGTCCGACAGACAAATTTAAAGTAGAACTAGATTTCACTGTTTATTGAAAGTGTGAGAATTAACAATTTGAATTCTTCCGCCTATTTGCTTTGAGATGGCCTTTGCTATTTCTGTTCCTCCTCTGGCAGAGGCAGGTGAAGAGCACTTCATTCTGACTCTGTTGCCAGATCCACCAAAATCAACAAAAGGGTTTAAGCAGCTGGCCTTGATCCAAAGTCAGCTAACAACGTTGGGAGTCTTTCCACTCACTTCGGGGAAGTGGATCAAGGCAATTGTGTCTAGAGCAGAGCTGGCTGAAAATTTTTCCACAACAGTCATTTCATCAAAGAATGCGTAAAATGTTTTGTGGGACACATCGTACATTGAACGCATTTTCCACAAATCCAAGGCAAGGTTCTCACCGTTCTGTCTTAATTCCTAGCAGACTGCCCTAAGGCTAGGGCACCCGTGTTTCGTGTTTCAAAGCCTGTTGTTCTGGGGGAGAGCAGCAAAGCTGACTGCAGTTGCTCTTGAAGTATGGGGCAAGCTACCAGTGTGCAGAGCTGTTTTACTAGAGCTTAGTACAGACTCCGTGTGATCTGCACCAATTCACTCAAAGCTCGACCCACAGTCCAGAGCAGAAGCATGGTGCAGATGCAGCCATGGTCTCTTCAGCAAAGCCACATTGTGAGATTACCTGAAGTGGTTACTCAGGCACAGACCTTTGGCTGCAAACAGCCACTTTAGCACAATGATAAGAAAAGCAATAAGCAAAGTTACAGACCATGAGATGTTACTTGTCACTTCAGTTTTCATCTGTTTTTTTAGGAGAAGGTATGTGTTTTAATCAGAATTTCTGTTCCTTTTTTTAAGCTCTTAGTCCAGTTAGGTCTGAAATATATATAAAGGTTTATTTAAAACACACCTTTGCATTGTGATCTGCTTTGATTTTTTATCTTTGTTTTCCTCTGTTTTCACTGCTGTAGAGCCTGGAGATTCTGTTTAATTATCTGTCACTATATGTATCTCTCTGTCTATTTATGGCAACTGGTTAAGAAAACTCTGGTGTGAGCTGAAACAGTATCTCCTACCTCCCAGAACCTACCAGAATATAGGGTATTTTACAGTGAGGATCATTCATTCATTGTTGTTGGTAACCTCTGACTGATAAAAATTTAATATTTACACAATGGGGGCTGAAACCCACAGGTTCCAACTGCTGGAGGAGCACCTGAATGGGCAGAGTGAGTGTATGAGTGCAATCTACGCACTCCTCTCTCTCTCCTACCAGTTCACTATGTTACATGAGGTGGAATAGCTTCAGCAAGGTCTGTTCAGCAGCCCCATCTCAGAATATGTGCTAACTGGGCAGTAAAACTACACATTTTCCCCCTGCCTCCTTTTCTTCCTCTCCTTTCCCCTTTACTGTCTGCTCTGGCAGTAACAGCAAATGATCAGTTATTCCCACAGCCCACTTAGGTCCCCCCGCATGGTGCTTGGGTGCAGTGCCAGCCAGAGGCAAATTCCTGGCCAGCCCAGCCTGGCTGGTCGCAGGAGCACACTGTGCCTGCACTGTCCGGAATCACTGCCCCACTGTCCCCTTCCCAGGACTGGTCTTTTTCATCTTGGAATAAGGCGAATCAGGACTTTTGATTCCTTAATGCCCTTCAGTCTTTAGTCAGATGTATTGCCAATTGGGAGCATTTATAAACTTATTCTGAAATTATTTTGCATGGTTGTAAGTGAGCCCACAAGGTATGGAGCAGTGAAAATTGAGACCATCATGCCAAAAGTGGGATTAAAAGGAGAAGGGCAGATTCTCATGGTGTAGTTGGGATGAATATGCTGAAATCTGTGTAGCCACACTTATTTTCACTAGCTGTAGCAGGGGGCCACACCTGCAAATTACCATGAATTAATTTACCGATTAGTGGAATTCACAGACAGATCCAAAATAAAAACAAGTTTATGTAATTAATATATTTTTTAGAAAGAATGATTAGGAAGTTAAAAGTTTATATTTTTTTTTAGTGATGAGCACATCATCCATTTTCAAGGACATTAAGGAAGAACTTGGACCTCTTATACATGAAACCATAAAGTTATGGTAAAAAAGTATGCTCAAAGGCAAGGGCAAGCAAAAAATTCAAAACAAACCCTCTTAATAAAGTGATGCATATGTTAAATCCTTGTAAAGGATTATAAGAAAATAATATGTGGATGATGAGAGTAACAGAACCTGTTTAAACCACTGCTTTGTGTGAGTAGAATAACTATGTTTTAATTTTAGATGCTCTGAGAATTAAGACAATTTATTTATTTTTAGGACCATTATGTACTTACTGTCCCCAATCTGAGGCCATCGATGCTGTACCGCTTGGAAGTTCAAGTGTTGACCACTGGTGGAGAAGGGCCAGCTACAATAAAATCATTCCGAACACCTGACCTTCCTCCATTTTCACCCCACAGTAAGTAGTACTCCGTTTTGACATGTACTTGCGTGGTACAGAACTTCAGTCCTCCACATGTAAACAGTCAGCTCGAGCCTTAGAGTCTTTATTGGTTCCAGTAGCATTCCATGAATTTCAGATACGTAAAAATTTGGGGGGTTTTCGCCCATAACTGTCCATCAGCAATGACGGAAGCAAATGCAGTCTTTCACTCAGTTTATGTGGTCTGGCATTTGCCATTCATTCCACCATAGCTCTTTGGCTTATGCCTATAGCACGTGGGATTTCAAAGATGATCTGTCCTCCAAGTACTACCTAGGCCTGGGATTGCTTAGCTTTCCAGGTTAAATTTTTCTGGGTGCATTCAGTCCAGCATGGCTAGAGCCTGATTGTATTTCTAAAGCAGTGCAAACCTCTTAATGACCGTTTCCAGCATTTTACATGTTTCTAAAAAGTACAGTTCATTGTTGCCAAGCCCAGTAAAAAATATAATTAATTAGTCCACAGTACATTTGCTGGAATCTTTTTTTCCTTTCACAGTCGCACTAAAGTTGTCTGGACTAAACATGCACATAACTGTCAGCACAGGCAGTTCACTTATGAACTGAAGGATTGCAAGCTGAAGGACTCACAAAGTCTTTTTAGTGTGGATAAATGTTGGTATTACATACTCAGGGTTTCATATGTGCATATTTTCCTATTCTTTTGTTTAGGACCTCATCTGAAGCAACATCATCCACATCACTACAGGCCACCTCCAGAGAGATATTAGACTGTTTCAGATGATTATACAAGTAACAGATTAAAACTGAGCTCCCAAATGAGGGCTGGGAAAAGGCACATCTGTAGGAGCAATGAACCCGGTTATCCAGTGGAAGTTACCACCCTGTACGACCTGTATGTTCTTCCTCTGGAGTTTAGCCATGAAAATCGTATTTACACCAAGACTAGGGTGAGACATACAGCAAGGATCATTTCAGTACCACCACTATTCGATAAACTGAAGATCTCATCCAGCTCAACACCTGTGAGAAAGTCGGAAGTGTGTTCATTATAATGTTTTTGTATTTCTGTGTTTAAAGTAGATTGAAATGGTACAGTGTGTACAGCTTTTTCTCTTAGCGACTTCAATGTTAATATTTGCAAAGTTGTCCTGTGATGTATTCATAATATTGAACACTGGAAGCCATGTTCTCATCAGCGTGTTTAAATGATCTATTTTACTTAAAAGCTCTGCCTGTCACCAGCTTAAGCTCTAGTGTATTTTGCTTTTAAAGAAGGTCTCCGTATGTCTGAAATAAGGACACAAGTAAAATAAATACCAGTAGCAGAAACCCTAAATAGTCAGTATTTAAAAATTTCAGTATCACCCCAGAGGATAATAGTGATTGATTCATTTGTATCAATCATATCATCACATCATATTGTACATCTGTTCTGAAATGATAATGTTTTAGCATGTAGATCTTCTATTAACATAGTTAATAGCTAGAAAATATACTGGGTAGGTGTACCATTGTAAAGAAACAAATGGCAATTTATAGAATTGTTGAAAATCTGTGGACATTAATACAATTATTTATAGGGCCTGAAAGAATGACTTTTAAAATCCCACTTATAATTTATTTGGTGTATAATATTTCAAGTTATAATTGTATCTTGAAAAGAAACACCAATTTTCTAATTAAAAATCTGAATATTTAACATGAACATTTTAGAAATTTAAATTCTGAGGCACATTTTTTATTCACATAGCCATAGAGCTACTTTTTGGCTTTGCCTTTTGATGCATGTATCTCTTTTCCCCACGGATCTTTTGAAAAGAAGGATGAATGTGTTGGCTCCATGCTATTCTGCTTACAGAAAGACTTATGTGACAATATTCTGGCATCTGGAAAACATTGGCTTATAGTTATTTGAATGCATTTTTCAAATTTAGACAGAAGGGTGCCCTTTTTAACCATAAGGGAATTCATATTGCCTTATTGTGCAATATAAACTGTCTAGAATTATTTGCCACACAGAGAGACATCCTTCGATAGTAAACAGAAACTGCTTGGATTTATTATCAAGAGGGTGGAAGGTGTCTGCGAATAAATGTCCATACAAATACTCATACTCAGCTTATCATGTTCGAGATGTTCAAAGGGCTCCTGCATTCTCTGGCACATTTCCATTGCTCCCTGAACCACCACATGATGAGGCTAATGGATCTCAAACTCTTAGCAGTCAAACTTGACAAGGTAGCCACTTTTTCTACCAGCAGATGCTACAGGCTCACCTGTATTTCATATTTGCCTGAGATATTTAGTGAAAGGAGCTCAAATGTTACTGGTAAATATATTTTCCTTCTCTTGATGACAAATTGTTTTGTGGAAAAGCAGATATGGAGAGAAGAAATACATACCTGAAACTGAAGGTCAGAGTTATGCCTATCGTAGTAGAACATTCACAAAAGATTCAAATACAGTTTGTCTATTCTGACGTTTGTAGCTTTTTGTTTCATGTGGGTTGATACCACAGGGGGTGAAGGAAATTGAATGTTTCTGATAACTTGCTCATTCCAGTTTACCTACATTTCTACCTTTCTTTTTAAAGGGCTCTTTTTTGCCACTCTCTACTTTGCTTGTTGTCTTTTTTGATATGCACTCAGTGACCAAGAACTTTTCCAGACAATTTTTATTGCTACATGGTTTGGGCCTTTAACAATAGTTTTAAAAATATGAAAGGCTTTTTAATGAAAATATGAAGTACTTTTAATTCCTTCCTCTACCATTCTGTCACCTCCCCTTTTCCAAAATATATTAGCAAATAAACAGATGAACTCTTCTTCATAAAATCTGTAGTATAAAGGTTTATTTTAAATTTTGGCAGAAGGCCAGAGTCTCAGAGACTTTTGTCAGGATGGAAAAGTTTTGTTTGTACAAGTCTTTACAAAGAAAACATAATTTGAATCAGACTGATGTGCGGTACTGCTTCGACATTTACATTGCACAGGGCATCGGTAAAGCTAGAAGTGATCTCCGTGGTGTTTCCTGAGAGCAGGAGTCAGTGGGATCAGGGAAACTAATTACCTCAGGGTTCTCTGAAAACTTCTGTCCAATCCTTTCAGTCACAGACTATTCTACTTATGCTGGAGCAAATCAGTAGTGACTTGATTAATGTTAATGAAATTATGTTTCTTTCATAGTGACATGGTAAAGCGTAGAACGTGTACGTCAGTCTTTATTACAATTATGCCAGATCTGGCTTGGAGGTAAACTGGAAGTTAGCAGCCCTGAGTCATAATACCCTCAGTCTTGGTTGCTGAGGGAAAGCCCCATTCTTCTGAAATGAATCAAAATAGTTACTGTTTGCTGATGCTAGTCTCTTTGAAGCATTCACCTTTTAAAAGCCAATGTACTTTTGTAGAACATGGAGGGGTTTTCCCTTTTAAAGTAGATTCTGGAAATCTTAAAAAAAGTTGATAAAGTAGAATTGTATTGAACAAGTGTATTATATAGAGTCCACTAAGATGTAAATTATTTTTTTCCTTCTACAGACCAGCTCATCAACTCACCTTTCAAATCGTCCTCCAAATCAAAAACAAAAAATACAAGGTGAACAAAGCTCATGCATGGATGTTGCATTCCCATCTATGAGTGATTTCCTCAATATTCTTTGAATTTAGCAGTATAGATTTGACGTTGTTAGTGCCTAATTCATAAAGCCTTGTTTGCTGAATTGTACAGGGTATTGTCTTAATGTACTAGCCTAAGTCACATTAAACATTTAATTCAGCATTAGAGTTGTAATTCACTACTTGATTCACTAGTTAAAGATTTATTTTCTCTAATGATGTGTTAATATAGTATTGGGATGTTTTTAGATACTCTGCACCTTTACGCTAATGTACTATTTGCTATGGACGATATTGATGGATTTATCAGTTGACTCCAGGAAGCATTTTGTTTATTTCTTAAAGGAGAATTTTAAGATTATGCCATTTTTGCTAACTGCTTTGTGAAATGGATGGGTTTTTTTGCTCATCAATGAGTTTTGCTTAAAGAGAATGGTTTGTTCTTATTATATCTTTTTTGACCATTTTTGAGTTATTATTAGAGCAGGAGAAATTAAAATAAGACAGAGCTTGTGATGTACTGCTATGTGTGTCATCTTGAATATTCATTAAGAATATAGCACATAATAAATAAGAGGTCTGACTTATGAAATGCTGAACATCTGCAACTTAGTGGCTTCAGAAAGAGCTTAGGACATGGTGTGGCAATGCTAACACTGATATTAATGTTTGACATGGTCACACACAAAAATAAATACTCATTGCTAATGTGAATGGGATTTTTACCATTGGTTATAGCAGAACTGTATAGAAACGTAAATACTGAGACAATTTGTCCCACAGTACTTTCGTCTCCACGCTTCCAACTGGAGTCAGGGAGAGTTTCAGATAAGCAGGCCCTGATTCAGGAAGGTATGCAGAAAAGGGAACTTCCATATGCACGAAAGAAGTCGGTGGGATGGAAGTAAACCTTTGCAGTTAAGAATAAGCTTTAGTGATGTCTCAAATAAAGCATGGATGTCAGAATGTGCTTGAATACTGTCTTAAATCAGGGCCTTATAGAACAAATTATGGGACCCAGACAGATCTAAATTCTGTGTGCAACACCATAAATTTATTTTTGTCTTGTGTATATGTAAATGTAGTTGTGATATTGACTTATTTATTAATTAATTTTCTTATACTATGTGCCAAGTATATTCCTACACTTTTGATCAGTACCTGTGAACATCAATTACTAAAAATAATGTTATGCAAACTTGTGAATTGTAACCAGGAATATGATGCTAATAAGCTGTTGCATGTAGTTTTAAATAATTAAGAAAGCTCTTTATTTAAAAAAAAATAAATGAATACCTGAAAATGTTGTTGATTATATATGGTTTTGCATGCCAAAACTCATTGTTCAGATGTGGGCATGAAATGTAATGACTGTATTACCTCTACTGAATATATTAGTAAGGTACAATTTACAAAGTAATTAACAGAGCTCTACATGTAAAATTTTTCCTTTTTTTACTTAATTATATTGTAGTACAGGTACTCTGTTACCCAAATCGGCTGTAGAAATTATGTTCCTATAACACTCATTTAAAGTCAATATTTATTTATGTAATACAAAAAGATTGGTCTTATGTGTCTGTCCTGTTATTTAGAGAAAAAAAATACACTTCTTGTAAAAAAATAATTTGTAAAAAAAAGTAAATGTAAATAGAGTCTGATTTCTTTTACTCATTATTTTCATGTTTAGAATTTGTACATACTGTTTAGGTAATAAACTGTCCTAGGTCGAAATCTTGCTACATTATCTCCTCCATGCAGAATTTATAGTTTTGTTTTTCTTAAGTTGAAGACATAGAGTCATCTAAGCAAAATCAGTGTCACACAAAGTACCTTTGCTAAATCTACATTTCATTGTGTATAAAGTCATACATACCATTTTATCCTCTGTTTACAGCATTTAGTTTTCATTAGAAAGTGGTCAAAATAATCTGAAAATTAATTTAGATGTCATTTGAGTCTGTTATGTTGAAAAGCAATCCTTGAAGTAAAAAATCAGACTCAAGAACTTGCCATCCCTTTCTCTGTTTCAATGGAATAGTTCTCAGTGAAGATTTGTTCACCCTTTGTAATATTAACTTAAAATAGTTAAAATGTTACTGGATATATGTCAGCGGCCTGATTGTGCGAGTCAAGATTTTCATGATTGAAAA